CTGTGGGTTCTAGTGTGAAACAACTGAATTCTGCTCTGGTGGATAGAAATCCTCGTTTTAAAAAACTAAAAACTAGAAATGGGGAGGTGGCTAGTTGGGAAAGGAAGTATCTTGAGCAGGGGTCGCCAACCTCTGGGCTGGTACCGGTCCATGGCTTGTTGAGACTCGGCCGCACTAGCAGAGGGCGAGTGAGCGAAGCTTTACCTGCATACGCATGGGATCTAGATTGTGCATGAAACCATTCCCCCCCCCCCCCCCCGACCACCAATCCATGGAAAAATTGTCTTCCACAAAACCGATTCCTGGTGCCAGAAAAGTTGGGGACTGCTGATTCCTCTAAATCAGTGTTTCTCAACCTTGACAATTTTAAGGCATGTGGACTTCAACTCCCAGAATTCCACAGCCAGCAATGCTGGCTGTGGAATTCTGGGAGTTGAAATCCACATGCCTTAAAATTGTCAAGGTTGAGAAACACTGCTCTAAGTTAAGGGAATAGAGTAGTGTTTCTCAACCTTGGCAGCTTGTAGACATGTGGACTTCAACTCCCAGAATTCCCCAGCCAGGGGAATTCTGGGAGTTGAAGTCCACATAACCTCAAGCTGCCAAAGTTGAGAACCACTGCAATAGAAAGACACTACTGCTGATTTGTTTTGCAACTGGCCATTTAAGTAATTGAAAATTGATGGGCCAGGAACCTCTTGTGTACTGCAGGCAGATCGAGGCCCTTAGGCATCCAGTTGCTGACTCCCGTCCTAACTAGATACAATTATCAGGACTTTGATGAGTTTGCAGAGCTCCAGTTTTGTTCCCAAGAGAACCCCTAAGATAGACTGGGCCAAACACACGTCTAAATGACGGAGAACCGGTGCCAGGAAATATCAGGTGGTGTCAGCCTTTAGTGGGCTCGCTGGGGGTTCCCAGGGAGACACTTGAACCCTGCCTGCATTTAATCACCCATCCTGAAGCCAGCTTTCCAGCAGCCCCAGTGAAATGGGTGGGTTTTGTCTGAGGACCACTCTGATAAGCTCTAACTGAACAGGCCTGGAAAATGTGGTGAAAAAAATAAATAAAGATATAAAGCCCGTTGCTTTCATGAGGAATGTTTGCTTCGGTGCAAACTCAGTTGTGACTAATAGTAGAAAGTAAAGAATAGATTATAAAGTCTTCAGATTATATAGGTGGCCCTTGACTAACAGCCACAAATGAGACTAGGATCTCTGTTGCTAAGCCAGGTATTGTTAAAGTGAGTCACATCTGATTGTACAAACTGTTTTGCCACAGTTGTTAAGCAAATCTCTGCAGTTCTTAAGTGAATCACATGGTTTTTAAAACAAATGATATAGGGTTTACTGCCTGAGCAGTGGGTTGGACAAAAGACCTCCAAGGTCCCTTCCATCATCATCATCATCATCATCATTATTATTATTATTAAATCTGGCTTCCTTTGCTGACTTAGCTTGTCGGAAGCCAGTTGGGAAGGTCACAAATGCCAATGATTTGATCATGGGAGGGTTGCAACTGTGGTAAATACATGCCAGTTGCCAGGTATTAGTATTCTTTATACCAGTGGTTCTCCACCTGTGGGTCGGGACCCCATTTGGGGTCGAATGACCATTTCACGGGGGTCGCCAAACCATGCTGTCCGCCATTTTTTTCCCTTTTCCCTAGCTGTCCTAATCCCTCTTATTGGTGGCCACACCCACTTGGGGGTCACCACAACATGGGGAACTGTATTATGGGGTCACGGCATTAGAAAGGTTGAGAATCACTGCTTTATACCACCTTGGGAAAGCCACACTTGGAATTCTGCGTCCACGTCTGGTCACCATAATATTAAAAGGATATTGAGCCTCTGGAAAGAGTGAAGAGAAGAGCAGTAAAGATGGTTAGGGAGCTGGAGGCTAAAACATACGAAGAACAGTTGCAGGAATTGGATATTGTCTAGTCTAGTGAAAAGAAGAACTGGGGGGGGTCAATGATAACCCTCTCCCAATATTTGAGGGGCTGTCAGAGAAAAGAGAGGGTCAAGCTATTCTCCAAAGCATCTGAAGGCAGGACAAGAAGCAACGGATGGGAACACATGAAGTTCTAGTACTTCTTTATAATGCCTTGGTAGGGCCATGCTTGGAATGCTGCATCCAGTTCTGGTTACCATATTATAAAAAAGATGTTGAGACTCTAGACAGGGTGCAGAGAAGAGCAACAAAGAGGATCAGGGGAATGGAGGCTGAAATGCATGAAGAATGGTTGCAGGAATTGATCAATGGAGATTCATCCAGGTCATGATTGTCTCAAAGCTGCTTTTTCAAGAGGCAACTGGATTGTCTTATTTTTCTCATCCAAGAAGCTTCTTCAGCTCAGTTACCTCTTGAAAAACCACCTTTGGATTGCTGGAACTGGGTAGATCTACTTTAATGAAAAGAAGGGCCAGGAGTGACATGATAGCAGTCTGAGGGGCTGCCATAAAGAAGAGGGGTCAACATCTTCTCCAAAGCATCACAAGGCAGGATAGGAAGCAACAGATGAAAACTAATCAAGGAGAGAAGCAACCTAGAACTGAGAATGAATCATTGTCGCAGCTAGCATTTTGATTGGTCAAGGCACAAAAGTGATAGCTTAATTTTATGAGATACGCAAATCAAGATAGATTCTTATTTGGTGCTTTATTATTATCCATGGTTCTTAATATTCATTCTTAATCTAACAATGATTCTTCTCATGTGGTATACAATACAAGTAGTCCTCGATTTACGACTACAGTTGGGACCAGAATTTTAGTTGCTAAGCAAGGCAGTGGTTAAGGGAGCTGCACCTGATTTTACACTCTTTTTGCCACTGTTATTTAGTAAATCACTGCAGTTGTTAAGTGAATCATGCGGTCATTAAGCAAATCCACCTTTCCCTATTGTCTTTGCTGGTTGGAAGCCAGCTGGGAAGGACACAAATAGGTGATCATGTGATCCCAGGTTGTTGCAACTGTTGTAAAGGAACATCGGTTGCTAAGTGCCCGAATTGTGATCACGTAACCATGGGGACATTGTAGGTGTGAGAACCAGCCATAAATTCTTTTTTTCAATGCCATTGTAACTTCGCACAATCATTAACTTCAGTCGTTGTAAACTGAAAACTACCTGTATATTTAATCTCTACGCTTACTTAATGATCAAACTGCCGGCCCAAACGGGCTGGATGAGTCATGGCGAAACTGCGCCCCCCACCCCATTGCCGGCAATGGGACAAAGTTGTGATACGTCATGACATGTCACGTGACGTTGCGAGTTTGATACCCCTGATCTATGAGAAAGCGGTATTGTCCATGACATTTTTAAATCCCTGGTTTGTTCGTGTCAATTTTTCCAGTTCCCTTTTGTATTTGCTTAGATTTTTTTCCTTTGGATTTGGCTAGTCTAGAGAAAAGAAGAAATAGGGATGACATGATAGCAGTGTTCCAGTATTTGAGGGGCTGCCCCAAAGAAGAGGGGGGTCAAGCTATTCTCCAAAGCACCTGAAGGCAGGACAAGAAGCAACAGATGGAAACTAATCAAGGAGAGAAGCAACCTGGAACTAAGGAGAAATTTCCTGACAATGCAAACAATTAACCAGTGGAACAACCTGCCTCCAGAAATCATGGGTGCTCCATCATTGGAGATTTTAAGAAGAGACTGGACAGTCACTTGTCTGAAATGGTAGAGGTTCTCCTGCTTGAGTAGGGGGCTGGACTAGAAGACCTCCAAGGTCCCTTCCATCACTATTCTGATTCTGATTTTTTTTAAAGAAGGACTAAAATGGTTACAAATAGTCCTCAATTTAGAACCATTCATTTAGTGACTGAGGTTACAATGGCACTGAAAACAGTAACGGAATGATTGTCACACGGCCCGTTCAACATCCCCAGGGTCACATGATCAAAATTCGGACGCTTGGCAACTGACTCATACTTAGGACGGTTGCAGTGTCCTGGGATCACACGATCCCCTTTTGCGATCTGCTGACAAGCATCGTCAGTGGGGAAGGTTCATTTAACAACCGTGTGACTAACTTAACAACTGCAGTGCTTCACTTAACAACTGGGGCAAGAAAGGCCGTAAAATGGGGCGAAACTCCCTTAACAACTGTCTTGCTTGGCAACGGAGATTTCGGGCTCAGTTGTGGTTATAAGACGAGGACTACCGTGTACCTGTGCAACTGCTGAGTGCTTGGTTCTGTTGTGCCTATTAATTCGCATCCAGTTCCCACAAATCCATAATCTAAATTTGAATCGCATCCTGTTTGGCTGCTTTTTTTCTTCTCCTAATTGAAAATACTGTTTCCTTGAAGGATGACCAGGTTGCCTTAAAACAGTGGTTCTCGGCCTGTGGGTCGGGACCCCATTTGGGGTCGAACGACCATTTCACGGGGGTCGCCAAACAACGCAGTCCGCCATTTTTTTCCCCCTTTTCCTTAGCTGTGCTACTCCCTTTTATTCTATTGGCTTTTGAAAGCCAATAGGAGAGACTCTCTTGAATAGAGTCTAATTCTATTGGCTTTCAAAAGCCAATAGGAATTGTCCAGGCTTTCTCTGCCCTGCTGAGCCCGCCAAAAGCCCCATTCTGCAAACGGTGCTGCACCAGTTGTAGTCCTCGACTTCCGACCGGTTGAGTAGTCCTCGACTTAGGACCGGTTGGGGGTTGCAGCATTAAAAAGGTTGAGAACCACTGCCTTAAAATGAATCTGACTTACGTTTCTTGACTCTTCAAAAGGGACCTTCTGAGGTCATCCAGTCTAACCCCTCCTGCAGTGGCCCGAAAGCTCTTTCCTTCCGGGAGTGATAAATCAAGGCCTACTTGTACATCTCTGGACCCTAGAAAATCTCTGTCCCACCACACCATTGTCTTCCTCTCTTCCTCTTTTGCAGGTCTCAAAAGCCACCCTTGCGATGTCTGCCTCCCCTCCCATCTCCGCCTTCTGACGGCCTCCCTCCCCCCCCCCCCGGCCAGGCCGCCATCACGACCGCCCTCACCATGGTGCACACGGAAGGCAGCGCCCTGCTGAAAGCTGTCTGGCAGGGCAAATTCCGGCTGACCCGCCTCTTGCTGGAAGGCGGGGCTTACATCAACGAGGGCAACGCCCAGGGTGAGACGCCGCTCATTGCCGCCTGCGTGGCCTCCTACGAGGACCCCCAGAACAAGCCCCGCATGGTGAGGTACCTGCTGGAGAGCGGAGCTGACCCCAACAGTCCTGACAAGACGGGCAAGTCTGCCTTGATGCATGCGTGTGCGGAAGGCGCCGGGGCCGAGGTGGCCACCGTCCTGCTCAATCACGGGGCGGACCCCAGCGCCAAGGATTATTCGGGCGCCTCGGCGTTGGTGTACGCCATCAACAAAGGGGACCGGGCGACCTTGCAGGTGCTTCTGGATGCCTGCAAAGCCAAGGGCAAGGAGGTTATCATCATCACCACCGACACCTCCCCTTCGGGAACCAAGAAGACCAAGCAGTACCTCAACTCCCCGCCTTCTCCCGGCGTGGAGGACAAGCCCCCCCTGCCCGCCCTGTGCATGTCCCCTTCCGACATTGAGGTCCGCACCTCCCAGTCTCCCGGGGCCAGCGAGAAGGAAGAGGAACGGGACGTTTTCAACTTCAGCTTGGCCACCCGACTCAGCTGCTCGCCCCATACCAAGGGGAAGGAGACGGAGGAGAAGGGCTCCTCGGGGCTGCTCCCCAAAAGTCAGCCCAAGCAGCTGAAGAGACTGAACTCTGAGCCGTGGGGTTTGGTGGCCCCCTCGGTCTTGGCCGCTTCGTATCAGGACAAAGCCCGGAGCCCAGAAGACCGGGTACGGATTGAGATGAATGGCTTGAGCCTCGCCAAAAGGCCTCCACTGTCTCGGCGACACAGCGTGGAAGGACAGGAGACCTCCTGCTTCAAGATGGGGACCCACCCAGGATCTGGAGATGACGTCTCGGCCTTGGATTCTTCCTGGGCAGAGAAGGTCCAGTTGGGCCACCTTCATCAGACCCTCTCTCGACACAACACAGCCCCAGAAACTCAAGAGGGTCTCCAAGGTCCTAGTCCCAGAAGTGCGGCACATCACAAGTTGACCTGCTTGGAACATTTTGAGTCTGATTCCCTCTGTCCCGAATCCATTCCAGGTTCTCCAGATTCTGGCCGGGTTTCACTGGAGAGGAAGCGGTACAATGCCTCCCCTTTGACCTTGCCCACCAGCTCCTCCCGGGAAAGTCTAGAGAGCATCCCCAATGCCGTCTCCCCGATGACCATTCGGCGTAGGACCCCAGGCCTCTTGGAGCGAAGAGGCTCCGGGACGTTCCTCCTCGACCACATCGCCCACACCCGCCCGGGGTTCCTGCCCCCTCTGCACTTCAACCCTCATCCTCCCCTCCGCGACATTCGAGCCAATGGGAAGCCCCCTTCCCCAGCCCACAAGGGGCTGATCCCCATGGCTCCCTCGTCCCCGAAGACCAAGCGGCTCCTCCGAAGACACTCCATGCAAACGGAGCAGATGAAGCAGCTGGTCAGTTTTCAGAGCCTGATTGCGCAAGGCGACTCGGTGGCCACCTAAAACGGGCAACCCCCAGAAACCAGAATCAACCAGAATCTTTGTCTTTGGCCTAGTCAAAGTTTAGAGGGCCCAGCCTGTCTTCATAGTTGGGTTTCCATTGTCTTCCTCCCTTCTCTTGTTTGGTGTCCTACGTTGTAGCGGCCGTATTTAGAATCCTAACCTAACTTGACTTTCTAAACCTGGAGAGTTGGAACCAGCATTCGGAGATCACCGAAGAGATAGGATCTTGAAAGGGCCAAACAATTCACAATTGCTGTCCAGTGGCTACAACTCCGAGGAAACTCACCCATCTCTGGTCAGATTTTGGGACAGGAAGATCTGCAACAAAATATTGACCATGAAAATAGGAGATTGTTGATATCTAGACACCCTTTCTGTGGTTTGGATGCCGAGTTGGAGATGATGAATGCAGAATACACAACAGTAGAGGTTGTTCCTCAAGTGATGGTCCAAGAAGAGGGACCTCTTGGACAACTGGAGGGATTTTTGAGATGAATGACACAAGATAGATTCATGTCTTGTGGTTCTAGGACTTCTTCAGGGATCCATTGGCATCAGGCAAAATTCTTCTGTTTCTCTTTCAGGTCTGCTTTCCAGAAGAAATCTGAGAAAATTAGAGAAATCGCTCGGTTGCAGAGAACCAGGAAGATGTGAAAATGTTCTATACATAGCAAAACCCTCTCTACTTCTCGTCCTCCGGGTCAAATCCGGGGCATTCTGCTTTTTCAGATCAGTAGACCAGTGTTCCTCAACCTTAACGAGATGAAACTGGTGGCAGGCAAGAAAGACGAGGTCCACACCTGAAGGTTCAATTAAGCTGCTTTCTTGCGAAAAGCCAATGCACAGGAATCTTCTCAACTAGCAATCAGCACTTGGTTAGCGTTAGATAAGGGTCAAGGGCACTCCAGGGAGATTGGACTTGGTTTGCTTGTGGCTACGTAGGGATTCTATGCTGATCCCTCTTTTCACTCCGCTCCTGGGTTCTGCCATTCCTCCTACGACAGTGGTTCTCAACCTGTGGGTCGGGACCCCATTTGGGGTCGAACGACCATTTCTTGGGGGTTGTCAAACAACGCAGTCCGCCATTTTCCCCCCCTTTTCCTTAGCTGTGCTCCTCCCTTTTATTCTATTGGCTTTTGAAAGCCAATAGAATAGACTCTCTTGAATAGAGTCTAATTCTATCGGCTTTCAAAAGCCAATAGGAATTGTCCAGGCTGTCTTTGCCCTGCTGAGCCCGCCAAAAGTCCCATTCTGCAAACGGTGCTGCACCAGTTGAGTAGTCCTCGGCTTACGACCGGTTGAGTAGTCCTCGACTTACAACCGGTTGGGGGTCGCGGCATTAAAAAGGTTGAGAACCACTGTCCTTGGGAGTTGAAGTCCACACAGCTGAAAGTTGCTGAGCTTGAGGAAGACTGCAGTAGATTTACTGGCCCTTTTACTGACCGTTTGGGATTTGTCCTCACCGAGGAGAACTTGAACCAAATATTTTTGTCCTTGGTCACCCCTATTTTTTCCCCGTCTGGATTTTGCCAGGGTTCCATTTCTTCTGACGGGAGTCAGGACTCAGGGTTGGGGGTTCAGGCTGGAGACGGGAGGAACGTCTGCCCATCCTCCAGTTTCTAGGACTGAGCAACTAAAAACCAAGACTTTAATTCTTTTTTTTCCCCCATTACTCCCAGTAGGAAAGTTTTGAGTGACTATCTTAAATTTTCTGGAGAAGAATTTGAGACTTTCAGGGTTATTTCTGACCCAAGCATGGATTATTTTGGTCTTCCGGATGCTTTTGAACTTAACTTCGACTCTCTCTAAATTGTCACGTCAGCAAGAACCTCACACGGACCTCACCGTTTCGATGACGAGGTCAAAATATTTCTAAAAATGTGCTTTCCAGGATGTAGGCTCGTCTTTCTGGATGAAAACTAGACACAGCTTCCTTCTTTATTTAAATCAGGAAGTAGGTGGATTCCGTAATCTGTTCCCAGAACTGTGGGTGAGAACAATTCCAGGGAGATGGATGGCCAGTTTAAAATGGTTCTCTGGATCTTATATTTATTTATTTATTTTATTTTTATTTTTTTCCACCTGGACTGTCAAGACTCAGGGATGGCACCCTGATTTTGATGTCCCAGAAGGACTTGCTGGATGTCTTCATCTCTCCTGGCTGTTGTCCCTTCAAAGGGGACCTTGGCGTTTCCAATTTGGCAGCTCCTATCCTCAACCTTCCTGTTAGCTGAGGATCTTCTGCTGCTCTCCAGAATTATATTCAAACCTTATTCCTTATTCCATTTTGTCAGAGCAGTGTTTTTCAAACATGGCCCTTTTAAGACAGGTGGTCTTCAACTCCCAGAATTCCACAGCCAGCTATAGAATTCTGGGAGTTGAAGTCCACCCGTCTTAAAGGGGCCAAGTTTAAAAAAAACCACAGTGTTATCCATTTCTAAAATTTAGGTATTTCCACCCAGCTTCCTTGTGCCCGCATCTCTGGCCAAATAGAGGTTCCTTCTGCAGGTAGTCCTCAACTTATGACCACAATTGAGCCCAAAACGTCTGTTGTTAAGCGAGACGTTTGTTAAGTGAATTTTGCCCCATTTTATGATCAGCTGTTAAGTGAATCACTGCAGTTGATCAGTTAGTAACCCAGTTGTTAAGTGAATCTGGGTCCCCCGTTGACTTTGCTGGTCAGAAGGTCGTAAAAGGGGATCACATGACCCCGGGAGAGACTGCAACCGTCATAAATACGAGACAGTTGCCAAGCATCTGACTTTTCATCACATGACCACGGGGGATGCTGCAACAGTCGTAAGTGTGAAAAAGGGTCATAAGTCACTTAATCAGTGCCGTTGTAATTTTAAACGGTCACTAAAAGAACTGTTGTAAGTTGAGGACTAATTGTAAGTCATCCATGCCTGAAAGAGGCTTGGTTGTCTTTGGTGCCCCCTGGCAATGTGGTGAGCTTGGATCTGGCCTGTTTGTTCCAAGCAATAGAACTCAGAAACGGCCTCGAAGCCTCCCGTCCATCTTCTGCTCCGTCCGAGCCCTCTCCTGCGTGCAGAAACCGCTCTCTCGATGGAGGGAGGTGTGTGTCATCAAACAGACCCTATTGAGATATCTACCCCAACCTCCTTTACCAAAACGTGACACAAATGCGCCCTTCACAGCACTCAGATTTGGGAATGGATGGGGCAATTTTTGGGCTACTTCACGGTGGCCGGCAGGAGGAACCTCTCCTCATTTGCGTTGCCATTTTTAAACAATGAAAGTTGGTACAATTGGCTTCTCCCCTACTCAATCACCTTTGTGGACAACCCCCCCCCCCGACCCATAAATTATTGGCTAGCCCACTCTTGACTTGCCTTTCACAGAATAGAATACAGAATCACCTGCTCTTACAGTCATGGGTTCTGTCTTAAGGACATTCCTGCACAAATGCTGCACTTTCCGCTTCTGCAGCCCACTACGTGGGATAGGTGGTCCTCCACTTATGGCCACAATGGGGACTGTCGCTAAGTGATTTGCACCTTTTTGCCACAGTTAAGCGAATCATGCAGCCGTTAAGCGAATCTGTCTTCCCCCAGTCTTCAATGTATCACAGTTGGGATTGAAACTTCCATAGCTAGGCGATGCGGTCTTTTAAGTCGCCCCAATTTTATGATCTCTTTTGCCACTGTGTTAAGCAAGTCCGGAGTCCCTCATGGAATTTATTTGTCAAAGGGCCCTGGGAAGGTGGAAAACGTTGATCACATGACCCCAGGACACTGCAACGGTTGTAAACACAACCTGGTTGCCAAGTGGTCAAATTTTGATCATGGGATCACAGGGATATTGTGACGATCATAAATGCAAGGGTCGGTCACATGTCACATTTTTCAGTACCATTGTAACTTGCAACAAATATTAAATCGAAGACTACCTGTATTCCAATTTTTGCCCATGTAGCCTTCCAAAAACTGTCTGGCAAATTTTAAGACAGGGTCCAGTTTGTCCGTGCCACATCTGGATGGATGAAGTTACCTGCAAATCATACTTCCTTAAACCTCGCCTTTTCGGTTCTGGATGGATTATGGGGCTGGGGCTGCATACTGTAGTTGTGGATGATAAAATCTGGATTAAAAATCTAGAATTAAATTTAGAACTGCCAACTAGAAAGTTGGTGAGCCTTCAAGGGCATCAGGATCTACAACTAAGCTCTGGCAAGAGAATGTAAGGTGTGTATTTTCAACTACGCAATCTCCCCTTTCCATGGTATGGTTTGCAGAAATGTGACAGGTGCCGAGGACATTTTTTCTACTTTGAGCCTCTCCAGATGTTTCTTCCAGTCCTGCTGTCCTGACTCAGCATCATCTGTCCAATAGACAATCCTCTATGACCTGAACAGATGCTTCCTTAACAGCGTCACTCTGGTTTTCTTTTGCACTTGTTTCTCCTCTTCCAGTTGTGGTTTAAGCACAATGTTGCCCCTCGTGGCCAAACGCACAATTTCTTGGGAGGGATATGTGACCTCTTGCAGTTCTTCTGTGCCAAGTCCAATACGGACCAATAGAAGTAGATAGATATTGAAATAATATATACAAATGCTGAACAAAAGAACAATGGTGTTTCTGTCTTTGTGGATGAGTGTGTGTTTGTGAGAAAGAGATGGCAGCAGTGGGGGTTCACTAATAACTTAAAAGACATGTTAGCACAATGGGTGCCGGCCTTCCCAGGTAGACCAGACAGGAAACACAACCAGACAAGCTAATCTTATTTTATTGTAAAGCTACATTAACAGGATTTCGCAAGTCTGAAAATACAAATCTCCCACCGTTTTATAGCCTTGGGAAACTAAAGAAGGTCCCTTTTGAAAGCCTCTTTCTGTACCTGTTATGCAGCTGAGGATTGCTCAGTCTCTTATCCAACTGTTCCCTAAAGCTATAAGAATCTTGTAAATCTGAAGGTACAAATCGCCCTGTCTCTTTTACGGCCTGAGAAACTAAGGAGAGTCCCTTTTGAGAACCTCTTTCTCTTCCCATTATGCAACTGAGGGCTGGGCAGACTCTTATCCAACTGTTCCCTAAAGCTACATAAAGTCTTTCAAGTTTGAAAGTACAAATCTCCCACCATCTCTTTTATAGCAACAAAGATGATTAGGGGACTGGAGGCTAAAACACATAAGGAACGTTTGCTAGAATTGGGTATGTCTAGTTTAACGAAGAGAAGGACAAGGGGGGACATGATAGCAGTCTTCCAGTATCTCAGGGGCTGCCCCAAAGAAGAGGGAGTCAAGCTATTTTCCAAAGCGCCTGAAGGCAGGTTAAGAAGCAACAGATGGAACTTAATCAAGGAGAGAAGCAACCTAGAACTATGGAGAAACTTCCTGACAGTGAGAACAATTAATCAGTGGAACAGCCTGCCTCCAGAAGCAGTAAATGCTCCAACACTGGAATTTTCTAAGAAGAGACTGGACAGCCATTTGTCCGAAATGGTGTAGGGTTTCCTGCCTGAGCAGGGGGTTGGACTAGATGACCTCCAAGGTCCCTTCCAACTTTACTCCTCCTCCTCCTCCTACTACTACTACTACTATTATTATTATAGTCTGATAAATCAGGAAGGGTCCCTTCTAAGTCTCTTTCTCCTTCCATTATACAGCTCTGGCTAAACAACCTCTTATCTGACTGTCCCCTAAAACTACCATACAGAATTTTGCAAGTCTGAAAGTACAAATCTCCCGCCGTCTCTTTGACCGTCTTAGGAAGCTAAGGAGGGTTTCTTCAGAGCCTCTTTTTCAATCTATCATGCAGCTGGGGGCGAAGCTGTCTCTTATCTATCAATTCCTTTGGAAGCATCTTTCCGCTCCGTCTCTTGGGGTCTTTTCCACATAAGGTTGCACCATGTGACACTTTGTGTTTCGTTCTTGGAACAAATTTGTAATTTTGAATTCATGTTGTAGATCAGGGGTAGTCAACCTTGGCTCTTTTATGACTCGTGGACTTCAACTCCCAGAATTCCTGAGCCAACTGGCTCAGGAATTCTGGGAGTTGAAGTCCACGAGTCATAAAAGAGCCAAGGTTGACTACCCCTGTTGTAGATACTCTCATGATATGGCTGCCTTGGGAGATTGGCTCGTTCAAAAAATAATGCTACCATGATTCTTCCCTACTACCACAACTTAGGTTTTTACCTTTTTCTGGACACTAGACCAGCATGTTCCATGTTGCTGCAAGATTCCAGGTTCCTCCTGGAAGAAGCAACTTCAGAAGAGTTTGTTGTTGGATCAGCATAGAGGAAGGAAGTTATGGGCTCCATCTTCCTTGGACTCACTGTCTGTCTGTGGTCAAGTGGAAAAGAATCACTGCTGTGCCCATTATGTGTTTTGTAAGCATTAGGAGCACTGTTTCAGATGCACATGGTCACTCCCACCAACACTGACAAGGCAAGCCACTAGAACAGGGGTCCCCAACCTGTGGGCCGTGGCCTACTACCAGGCCATGGCCTATTGGCCACCGGACTGTGTGAGTGGCTGGCTGGTGCATGTGTGCATGCAGGTGTGTACAGCCCTACTTGCATAAGCGTCACCACAAATATTGTGGCTGTTGGAGGCCCCATTTGTGCGAGCGTCGCAGGCATTGGCAGCACACAAGCAACCAAAAGGTTGGGAAACTGCACTAGAATATAAAATGAGAGCAAACCCCATTCCCTACTGTCACTGATGACATTACTTAGTTGGGTAATGAAACGTCTGCAAGAAAAACACCAAGCTCAGAGAACATCAAGGACCCCACGGCCACATTTCTCCTCCTCCTCAGCTCCCTTTGAGCACTCATGGGGTTCCTAGTTGGGTAAAGAAACAACTAAACTCAGCCTTAAGGACCCCACAGTTCAAGCCTGAGCTATAGATATTCTTGTCTGTTACTACGTAGTCAATCGGGAGATACGTCCTCTCTGTTCCTTATGAATTTACACTTCGTTGTAAGCTCAGTCATAGGATGTTTAGTGTTTTCCAAACTTGGAACTTTAAGATGGGTGGACTTCATAGCTGGCTGGGGAATTCTGGGAGTTGAAGTCCAGACATCTTAAAAGTTGTTAAGGTTGCGAAACCCTGGTCCAGACAATGAACACCAGTTCTATCTTAGATTAGATCAGGGCTTTTTTTCTTATAGAATGCCCAGAATGGAGTTCCGGCAACTGTTTTATTTATTTATGAGACTTATATACCGCTTTAAGTGCAAGCACTCTCTAAGCGGTGTACACCAGTAAGCAATGTATATATATATTTACATTGCCCCCAACAATCTGGGTCCTCATTTTACCTACCCGGAAGGATGGAAGGCTGAGTCAACCTTGAGCCGGTGAGATTTGAACCGCTGACCTGCTGAACACAGTCAGCTAAAGTGGCCTGCAGTACTGCACTCTGACTGCTGCGCCACCTCAGCTTTTGGATGGAACCTTGTAGGGTAGGAAAGGCGGGTTGTATGTGTGTGAGTTCCGGCACTTTTTTTTTTTTTTTTTTTTTTAGAAAAACACTGCAGAACCTTGCAAGACTGAAATTATTTTTCAGTTGCTTCCCACGGCCCTTTTCTTTCTTTTACATCCCAGTTGTCTTTCTTCCTCCTGTCCCCTGAGACGATTCCCACATGTCATCTGACCTCATTTGAGACTCGTGAGGAAACGATGCTCCTGGCACGATGCTCCTGGCACTAACAGCTCATCTCAAAGGCCTTAACTCTTCTGTTAAGGCTCACCCTACCGAATCCATGCTTCCCTGCCGCTTTTCCACTCAAAAACTACCAAAAAGAGTTGCAAAGCAGTTGACTTTCCAATTCTGAGCCCTCCGTCCTCCTCCCATTAAGCTAAGCAGATGGCTGGGGGAGGCTCTCGGCTGAGGGGGTCCCCATCGTGTCCAGAACAGCATCTGGTACCCAAGAGATTGTCACTGGCAGTGGAAACAAGGTCTCTGTGACTTCGCGGCCGTCTGTGCGATTGGAAGAGGAGGCGAGAATGAAAAGGAAGAGAGGCACCTTTAAATAGAATTATTGGAAGCTGGAAGAGAAAGAGGACAAGCACTGCGCAGAGTGCCTGCAGTGACCTTCACAAACACACAACCACAAAGCCGGGGGGGGGGGGGACAGGGCTGTGAGTGCCTGTAGACACAGAAATACACGCACTTTCTTGTTTCCCCCCCTTTTTTCCCACATCTGCTGGAGCAGCTGAAGGACGGCAGAACCAGCCTGGGGAGACGGTAAGTACTGGCTAAATGTCCCATTTGGGATATCGAGCAAATGTTTGGCTTCTGATAATCGTTTTAGTTACTGGGCTGTTGCCTTTCATTTAAGAGGGCAGAGCAACAGAATAACAAGAGTTCGAAGGGAGCTTGGAGGCCATCTAGTCCAACCTCATGCTTGAGCAGGAAACCCTAGACCAGTGGTTCTCCACCTGTGGGTCGGGACCCCATTTGGGGTCGAACGACCATTTCACGGGGGTCGCCAAACAAGGCTGTCCGCCATTTTTTTCCCTTTTCCCTAGCTGTCCTACTCCCTCTTATTGGTGGCCACACCCATTTGGGGGTCACCATAACATGGGGAACTATATTATGGGGTCACGGCATTAGAAAGGTTGAGAACCACTGCGCTAGACCATTTCAGACAAGTGCCTGTCCCATCTCTTCTTAACAGCCTCTAGTGATGAAGCGTCCACGATGTCTGCAGGCAAGCCCTTCCACTGATTAATTGTGTTGTTAGGAAATTTCTCCTTAATTTTAGGTTGCTTCTCTCCTTCATCAGTTTCCATCCGTTGCTTCCTGTCCCGGTGCTTTGGAGAATAGGTGGACCCCCCTCTTTTGGGGGGCAGCCCCCCAAATACTGGAAGTCTGCTATCACGTCCCCCCTGGTCCTTCTTTTCCCCAGACTAGATATACCCACTTCCAGCAATCGTTCTTCGTATGTTTTTTTCTCCAGCCCCGTAATCACCTTTGTTGCTCTTCTCTACACTCTTTCCAAGGTGTTCCCAGAGTTGATGGGTCAGGCAAGGAGGAGGGGGTTTGGTCTGAAGGTGAGAAGAGGAAGGGGCTGGAAGGGTCCTGCCTCTGGTAGCCCTCGGAAGGATGAAAAAGTTTAAGACTGCCTTTCCTCTCCCATGGCCCTTTCTTTAATAACAGAGTTGGAAGGGACCTTGAAGGTCTTCTAGTCCAACCCCTTGCTCAGGCAGGAGACCCTATACAAGTACTTCTCGACATACGACCACAATTGGGCCCCAAATAGCCCTTGCTAAATGAGACATTTGTTAAAGGAGCTGTGCCCCATTTTACAACCTTCCCTGCCACACTTGTGAACTGAACCTCCGCAGTCGTTACATGATTTCCGTGGTTCTTACGTGACTCTGGCTTCCCCATTGACTTTGCTGATCAGAGGAACTGACTCCGGGATACTGCAGCCACTATACCGGTTACTGGTAGGATGCCGGTTGCCAAGTGTCCAAAATTTGAACCTGTAAAATGGTCGTAAGTCACTTTTTTCAGCACCGCTGTAACCCTGGACGATGATTGAATGAATGGTTGTAAGTTGTACTGCTATCAATATTTCAAGAGGCCTGGGCAACAGAATAGAAATAGAACTACTTGCTTCTAGAACAGTGTTTCTCAACCTTGACCATTTTAAGGCATGTGGACTTCAACTCCCAGAATTCCACAGCCAGCATTGCTGGCTGTGGAATTCTGGGAGTTGAAGTCCACATGCCTTAAAATGGTCAAGGTTGAGAAACACTGTTCTAGAAGTTGTGGGCACTTCATCACTGGGAGGCTTTTAAGAAAAGACTGGACAGCCACTTGTCTGAAATGGTCTAGGGTCTCCTGCTTGAGCAGGGGGTTGGGCTAGATGACCTCCAAGGTCCCATCCAAACCTATTACACTATTATCTGTTACTGCCTTGACATGCATATTCCTCCATTTCCTGGGTTTTTTTTTTCCTCTTCCTTCCCCACCTTTTCATTGTTTCTCTGTCCTCCCCACCCCAAAAAACTTTGGCACTTTAAATATATATATTTTTATTAAAGTATTTTAGATAGCTAATAAGAAATACATTCAAAGAAAGAAAAAAATATAGAAATGTGAAAGAAAAAAAAAAGAAAAAAAAACATAGGAAAAAGGAAATAAAGGAACAAACAGAAATGCATACAAAGAAATGGCTTCTGATCCTTGGCAGTTAGATGCACAATTTTAAACAAATCTCTGTCTTCAAGGTTTCAACATAATTCCCTCCTTTCTCTAACCATCAAAACCATGAGTCACAAAATCATTTTTCTGTCTTATGCAACATCTCCACAAGAGGCTTCCAGTTGGCAGCAAATGCAGAGAATGCCTTTTCTTTCATCAGAGTAGTTAATTTCAGCAAAATCTGTCAACTTCACCAGCCACCCCTCCGCTGAGGGTCACGTCAAATCTTCTCATTTCTGTGCCTCTTAAGAGCCTCAGGAATTATGACCTCAGCTGAGCCCAAACTCTCTGTTGCTGAGCGTTGTTAAGTGAGTTTTGCCCCATTTTATGACCTTGCTTGCCACAGTTGTTAAGTCAGTGGTTCTCAACCTTTTTAATGCCGCGACCCCCAACCGGTCATAAGTCGAGGACTACTCAACCGGTCGTAAGTCGAGGACTACTCAACTGGTGCAGCACCATTTGCAGAATGGGACTTTTGGCGGGCTCAGCAGGGCAGAGACCGCCTGGACAATTCCTATTGGCTTTTGAAAGCCAATAGAATTAGACTCTATTCAAGAGAGTCTATTCTATTGGCTTTCAAAAGCCAATAGAATAAAAGGGAGTAGCACAGCTAAGGAAAAGGGGGGAAAAAATGGCGGACTGCGTTGTTTGGCGACCCCCGTGAAATGGTCGTTCGACCCCAAATGGGGTCCCGACCCACAGGTGGAGAACCACTGTGTTAAGTGAATTATTGCAGCTCTTTAGTAACATGGTCATTAAGGGAATCGGGCTTCCTCCATTGACTTTGCTTGTCAGAAGGTCGCAAAAGGGGATCACGTGACACCCTCCCGGACACTGCAACCGTCATAAGTACATGCCAGTTGCCAAGCGTCTAAATTTTGATCACATGACCATGGGGATGCTGCAACGGTCATAAGTGTGGAAAACGGTCATAAGTCACTTTTTTCAGTGCTGTTGTGACTTCAAACAGTCACTAAATGAACATAAGACGAGGACTGCCTGTACTGAAATAACCTTTCATGACACTTATCTTACCCTGATCCACCAGTTCTAAAAGGGAGATTTCTGGCTTCAGTTGAATATTAATCTTTAAAATCCACCACGTATGGACGTGAATCCCTTTTTTTTAAAGCTTTTTTACATGTCCAGGAAACGTGATAAAATTACCCTTCCTGTGGTTCTCATTTCCAACCTACAGCCACAGTTGAGCCCAAAATTTATCTTGTTAAGTGAGACATTTGTTAAGTGAGCTTTTGCCCCATTTTGTAACTTTTCTTGCCACAGTTGTTAAGTGAATCACAGCAGTTGATAGGTTAGTCATACGGTCGTTAAGTGAATCTGGCTTCCCCACTGACTTTGCTTGTCAGAAGGGGATCACGTGACCCCGAGAGAGACTGCAACGGTCGTAAGTATGAGCCAGTTGCCAAACAACTGGATTTGGATCATGTGACCAGGGGGAGGCTGCAACGGTTGTAAGTGTGAAAAACAACCATAAGTCACTTTTTTCAGTGCCGTTGTAACTTTGAACGGTCACTAAACAAACTGTTGCAAGACGAGGACTTCCTGTAATCATTGAATCATAGAAAGCTAGGGCTGGAAGGGACCCTGGAGGTCTCCTAATCCAGCCCCTTGCCCAGTGCAGGAGTCCTCGTACTCGTCTGACAACCAGTCTCACTTCCTCGTCTTACGACTAGACCACCACGAAAATGGTAATAAAATTGGGTCAGTCACGTGACCAACTCATTTTGCAACTGTCACGAATTAAGTCCTTGATGGTCGTAAATCAAGGATGACTTGCATTTGAAGGGCCTTGATAAATTGTAGATAATTTCTCTGGGCTCCTATGCCAATGACGCATCGTTTGATAAAACGTCTTGTTAAGGCAGTGGTTCTCAACCTTTTTAATGCCGCGACCCCCAACCGGTCATAAGTCGAGGACCACTCAACCGGTCGTAAGTCGAGGACTACTCAACTGGTGCAGCACCGTTTGTAGAATGGGACTTTTGGCGGGCTCAGCAGGGCAGAGACAGCCTGGACAATTCCTATTGGCTTTGGAAAGCCAATAGAATTAGACTCTATTCAAGAGAGTCTATTCTATTGGCTTTCAAAAGCCAATAGAATAAAAGGGAGTAGCACAGCTAAGGAAAAGGGGGGAAAATGGCGGACTGCGTTGTTTGGCGACCCCCGTGAAATGGTCGTTCGACCCCAAATGGGGTCCCGACCAACAGGTTGAGAACTACTGTGTTAAAGTCACAAAGTAAAGTAAATTTCAGCCCTTTGAAATTTCCCACCGATCCATCTACATATTATAACCAAAATCCTTCGCCCACTTTATTCTACGTTCTTCAAGCGGTTCTTCCTTCTTTTCAAATGTTGTTATGGAAAACTGCAGACTCTCTTGCCCTCTTCCAAGCAAGTGATTAACCACGTTTCATGGAAGCTCACCCACCTACATCTACATCAGGGGTGTCCAACCTTGGCCACTTTAAGGCTTGTGGACTTGAACTCCCAGCATAGTTGGCTGGGGAATTCTGGGAGTTGAAGTCCACAGGTCTTGTGGACTTCTTGTGGATTTGTGGACTTCAACTCAGAATCTTGTGGACTTCAACTCCCAGAATTTAAAGTTGCCAAGGGCGGACACCCCTGATCTACATCCTGCCACAATGGCCAGAACTGAAGGATGCTCAGTGCCATGAAAATCCTGCAGGATGCAACCCATAGCTTTGAATTTCAACACTTTTGGAAATATGGGTGGGTGGGCTGGTGCAACCAAGTGAAAGAAAGCTGGCTTCTGTCCCCTTGCAGGAGTGTCGGGTGGCCTCAGGACCCCTGGACTTTGCGAGAGGCTGAAGATGGCTGCCACCGGAAGAAGCCAACACAGCGACACAGCCATGACTGTTTTTCTGTTCCCGGCCACCAATGTGGACTAAGCTGCCTCCTTTTGCCCTGGAGACCCAGCATCCCAAATAAAGCATGACGTCTTCTAAGTAGGACATCTTTCTGCTGGGAGACCAAAGCCAATTTCACTCCCAAATAACTACCAGCTTTAAGGACTCATATCAGATGACCTCAGCTATGTCTGAGTAGGAAGCCATGTCATCCTGCTTCTTCCAAGTTCTTCGAAAAGTAGGACTTCCCAGAGAACCAGAGGGGGTCCCTCCTGGAGGGGAAGCCCTGGTCCAGCTGATGGACCTCTCTGGTGAAGAATGCTCTTCCTTCCTTGGGAAGGCTTGATGTTGGTTGAGCCAATGAACGCCACTCTCTGGGGCCAACAGCATGGATGGGACCTTCAGCCCAAGTGAGGTTCCCAGAGGCAGCTCCCAACTCCCCACGTTCTCCACGGCAGCCAAAATCCGTGTGGCCATCACTGTGGTCCTTTTCCTTTGCTCCACTGGCATCAACGCCGCCATGTTGTGGAGCGTCACCAAGAAATTTCAACGCAAGCCACATCTCTGCATCCTTCTCATGAATCTGGCTGCTGCTGATCTTCTGGTCACCTTCGTGGTCATGCCACTGGACACAGTGTGGAACGTGACCATTCAGTGGTACGCTGGTGACCTGGCCTGCCGGCTTTTGATGTTCCTCAAGCTGGTGGCCATGTACGCCTGCTCTTTCGTGACGGTAGTGATCAGCCTGGACCGCTGGGCAGCCATCTTGCATCCCCTGAGGGTCAGCAGAGCCAAGAGGAAGAACAAGACAATGCTGTGCATAGCGTGGACCCTCAGCTTCCTCCTAGCACTACCTCAGGTATGTAGAACCTCTGTCCATGTTAAGAAACCAAGAAGACCAGCATCTAGCCTTTGAAATGGTTCTTCTAGGTCTACTTTCCACCCATCCAATCCTCATGTATTCTGGATTATGAGGTCATCTAAATTCATGAAAACAAGAAAATACTATCTAGAACAGTGGTTCTCAACCTGTGGGTCGGGACCCCATTTGGGGTCGAACGACCATTTCACGGGAGTCGCCAAACAAGGCTGTCCGCCATTTTTTCCCCCTTTTCTTTGGCCACGCCCCTGGCACCCAGTGATGTAGGAGCCGAGGTGGCGCAGCAGTTAGAGTGCAGTACTGCAGGCCACTGTAGCTGACTGTTGTTCAGCAGGTCAGCGGTTCAAATCTCACCGGCTCAAGGTTGACTCAGCCTTCCATCCTTCCGGGGTAGGTAAAATGAGGACCCAGATGGTTGGGGGCAATGTAAATAAATATATATACATTGCTTACTGGTGTACACCGCTTAGAGAGTGCTCGCACTTAAAGCGGTATATAAGTCTCATAAATAAATAAATAAATGTATAAGTGGTTGGGGGTCACCACAACATGGGGAACTGTATTATAGGGTCGCGGCATTAGGAAGGTTGAGAACCAATGATCTAGGATGATACCTACATTCAAATCTAATGGAGGCTGTTCCAACAACCTTTTCCATTCCACCTGTTCTGTTCTTTCCTATATATCTTATCTCTATCTACAGATACTCCTTGACTTACGACCAGAATTTCTGTTGCTAAGCGAGTCGCGCCAATTTTGCCATGGTTGATAAATGAATCACTGCAATTGTTAAGTGAATCAAGCAGCTCTTAAGCGAATCCAACTTTCTCCATTGACTTTACTTGCTGGAAGCCGGCTTGGAAAATTGTTAAATGGCGATCACATAGCGTCAGGCAACGCATGTAAATATATACCAGTTGCCAACCCAAATTCTAAACATGTGACTGTGAGGATGCTGCGTTGGTTGCAACTACGAGGACCAGTTGAAAGTCATGTTTCAGTACCACTGTAACTTTGAACAATCATTAAACAAATGATTGTAAATCAAAGATTACATCTATCCATCATCTATCTGTCTGTCTATCCATCCATTATCTATCATCTATGTATATCAGTGGTTCTCAATCTGTGGGTGGGGACCCCATTTGGGGTCGAACGGCCATTTCACGGGGGTCGCCAAACAATGCAGCCAGCCATTTTTTCCCCCTTTTCCTTAGCTGTGCTACTCCCTTTTATTCTATTGGCTTTTGAAAGCCAATAGAATAGTCTCTCTTGAATAGAGTCTAATTCTATTGGCTTTCAAAAGCCAATAGGAATTGTCCAGGCTGTCTCTGCCCTGCTGAGCCCGCCAAAAGTCCCATTCTGCAATCGGTGCTGCACCAGTTGAGTAGTCCTCGACTTACGACCGGTTGAGTAGTCCTCGACTTACGACCGGTTGAGTAGTCCTCGACTTACGACCGGTTGGGGGTCGCGGCATTAAAAAGGTTGAGAACCACTGATGTATATGTATGTATATATGTATATCTATCAATCCTATATCTATCCATCTATCATCTAATTTTTGTCTGTCTGTCTTTCCCTCCCTCCCTCCTTTTATCAACCTATCCTTCCATCATCTCTAAGTCTCTGGTCTGTTTCTCCCTCCTGTCTCTCTGTATATCTGTCTGTCCATCTATCCCGCTATCTGTCATCTATGTATGTATCAGTATGTATCAAATTTAAAAATCTCCATCAGAGGAACTCTACCATTTGGTGAGGAAGATGCAGTTTAGGCAACCATATTTTAAGGCAGTGTTTCTCAAGCTTGGCCCCTTTAAGGCGTTTGGACTTCAACTCCCAGAAAGGAGTTGTGCTGGCTGGAGAATTCTGGGAGTTGAAGTCCACACGTCTTAAAGTGGCCACCTTTGAGAAACGCTTCTGTACTTCAAGACTTGTCCTAACCAGAATTGAAATCTAGACCTCTGTTGTGTTTGTGTGTGTGTGTGTTTTGTATGGGAAACGGCCTTTCTTTTTCCAGATGCTTGTCTTCCACACGGTCAGCCGGTCGCAGCCCATCCATTTCGTCCAATGTGCCACAGTGGGCAGCTTTGGGGCGCACTGGCAGGAAACCCTCTACAACCTGTTCACCTTCGCCTGCCTCTTCCTGGTGCCGCTGCTGGTGATGCTGCTCTGCTACTCTCGCATCTTGGTCGAGATCTCAGGGAAGATGGCACAAGGGAGGGGTGAGCCTTCGTGGCATGCACCAGTGGGGGGAGGGGGTCTTCCCTGGAAAGGGGTGCATGGTAAGCAGCAAGGTTTTTATAAATAACTGAAGATGGGGAACACACTGCTACCTCTTTCTTTGTCCACAACAACCCTGTCAGGTGGGCTGGCCTGACAGGAGATGAATGGCCCAAAGTCTCCTAGCTGGCTTTCATGCCCAAGGCGGGACTAGAACTCCCTGTCTCCTGGTGATTGGCCCAAGGTCACCCAGGCCAGCTAGAACTCCCTGTCTCCTGGTGATTGGCCCATCACCCAGCCAGCTTTCATATCTAAGGTGGAACTAGAACTCTCTGTTTCCTAGTGATTGGCTGAAAGAGAGCTCTCATATTGTAAGGACCCACCCCACTTTGCATCTTAAGAAGACAGAACTCTTGGAATAATTCTTCCAACAGGCATCCTTGATTAAGAGAAAATGGTTGCAGGCGTTCTAGACAGGACTTGGAGTCCAAGTTCTCCCATTCAAGGTTTTAAGGGATTCCCCAGTAGCCCCATCCAATCACCCCCTTCTTCCAGCGACAGTTTCAGACATTACACTCCCACCCCCTTTTCCTTACTGCCGGCTGGATGGAGACTTCAAAGAAAACTACATGAAAGGTAATAGCCCCATTCTTATGGTTAGCTTTTTTGGCAATACACACAATCAGTTCCTTTGAAGTGTACCAAAGGAAGTGAGGGCCATAAAGCCCCTTTGTTCACCCCTTTCCCTTCATCCTATGGCAGAATCCATAGAAGGCAGAAATGGGTTTTTTTATAATTGATAACTAGAGATGAAATATAATTGGATTCTGACACATATCTAAGATAGGACTAAAACTCCCCATTCTCTCGATTTCTAGCGTGGCATCTTCACCATTAGACCCTCGAAGGACATTGCATCCTGATGCAGCTGGCTTTATTGGGGCTCGGGGTCCTTTCCGAATGGAGCCAATCCTGGTTTGTTCAGGAATCCACCATTAACCATAAAACACAGCTCTATTGTTGTCGCTTTCTTTCTCTTGTAGCCTCGGCGAAATCCAGGGAGGTCCACCTGCGCTGCTCACACAATAACATCCACCAAATCCGGGTCCGCACCTTGAAGATGTCGGCCATCACAATCCTAACGTTTGTCGCCTGCTGGACGCCCTACTACTTGCTGGGCCTCTGGTACTGGTTCTCACCCGAGATGCTGACGCGGGAGCAGGTGCCGCCTTCGCTCAGCCACGTATTCTTCCTTTTTGGCCTCCTCAGCACCTGCCTTGACCCGCTAGTCTACTGCTTCTGCTCTTCACGCTACCGGACTGGCAAGAAGTTGGCCAAAGCATCATCTGTCCGCATGACCTCGGAGTGGGCGCCCACCGTGAGCAACGGCCCCAGGGCAGAGCCGGGAGTCCACTGGGCATGCAAACCAGGGTGTGGCCAGAGTCCAAAACTGGCCTGGGCCAGGAAGGAGAAAATGGCCGAGAGCTGCATCTGAACTTCCAGCTGTTTGACCCGCTTGCCCACTTTTCCTTTCTGATAAATTCCGGCTCAGGAATATTTCCAGAACGAGGAAAAAAAAAATATCAAATTGCATGTCTGAATTGGAAACAATGCAGAAACAAGATTGAGTTCGAGGTTCAGATTAAATGATCCAAGGAGATTTGAGTCTGACTTTTGAATCAGTTGGGAAAAATGCAGATAGTTCTTGGCTGCCACAAAGAAGAGGGAGTCAAGCTATTTTCCAAGGCGCCTGAAGGCAGGACAAGAAGCAATGGGTGAGAAGCAAGCTAGAACTAAGGAGAAATTTCCTTACAGCCAGAACTGTTAGAAAAATTAACCAGTGGAATCACCTGCCTCCAGAAGTTGTGAATGCTGCAACACTGAAGTTTTTAAGAAGAGACTGACAGCCATTTGTCTGAAAGGGTCCTGCCTGAGCAGGGGGTTGGACTAGATGACCTCCAAGGTCCCTTCCAACTTTACTATTATTATTATTACTTACAATCATCTGTTCATTTTTCACACTTACGGCCATTGCAGCATCTCCCATGATCACGTGATCAGAATTCAGACACTTGGCAACTGACTCATATTTATGACGGTTGCAGAGTCCCAGGGTCATGTGATCCCTTTTGTGACCTTCTGACAAACTAAGTCAATATGGGAAGTCAGATTCACTTAACAACTGGGTTCTAATTTAACAACTGCAGGGATTCCCTTAACAACTGTGCCCAGAAAGTTTGTAAAATGGGGCAAAACTCACCAAATTATAGTCGTAAGTGGGGGACTAAATGTAATTGTTTCTGGCCCTCTTTGAAGGCATTCTGAGCATCCTCCCTGATTCAGAGGTGTCTCATCTGATGAATTAGACACATTCTCAAGATGGGCAGCCATATACGTTTGATAAATAAAAATAAAATAAAATTCCGTGACAGTGTAACTGAACTGGCCTTGAACTGTATTTCCAGACTCTTTTGATAATTTGGGGAGCCCCAGCCAGAAATATTTTCATCCTTCTTTGAATCTGTGTTTTTCTTTTTCCCACACAATTGCAGTCAGGGAAAATCTTTTTCTTTTTTTTAATAAATTTTATTGAATAAAAAAAAGGAATTAAAAACATTGAACATGGTAAACCAACATTTGACAGACATCTCAGTCCATATTTACATTAATTACAAATAAATCTCTTTACAGTAACATCATTCTAATCTCAATCTTGGCTTTTCTCATTACAATGACCTCCATTTTTTTCCCCCACCATCTATAAAATTTATTCCATATTTGATAAAAATCTGATTCATCCTGATTTTTTAATCTTTTAGTTATCCTGTCTAATTCTGCGCAATACATGGTTTTCTGAATTAATGTTTCCCCACTCGGTACATCCGTAGCTTTCCATTTTTGCGCAAATAATATCCTTGCCGCTGTAACCACGTGAATGAATAAATACGTGTGATCTTTACTTACATTTTTTTCAGTCAGGGAAAATCTTTCAAGTGTAACACGAGTGCTCAAGTTTCCAAACTAAAACAATTAAATGCCAGAAATCCTAAATAGAAGCCCCAAAATGAACACCTGGACCCTTTGCAGAAAAAAAACAACAGTGCTAAAAAGCTAAATAGTCAAACTATCATTGTCAGATAATGTTTGTTAAGAATGCACCGGTGACTTTTGTACACTACACAAACTTAACAGTTTCGCCTAGTGACCATTCAAAGTTACGACAACACTGAAAAAAGTGACTTATGACCGTTGCAGCATCTCCACAATCAGATGATCAGAATTTGGACACTTAGTAACTGACTTGTATTTATGACGGTTGCAGAGTCTCGTGGTCACGTGATTCCCCCTTTTGCGACTTCTGACAAGCAGTCAAGGGGGAAGCCGGACCCCCATAAAAACCGTGTTAAGTGAATAATTGCAGTGATTCACTTAGCAACAGAAATTTTGGACTCAATTGTGGTCATTACGTGAGATGATCTGCCTTGACTGGCAGCCATAATGGGTGGGCCACCTTACAGTCATAAGTCGAGGATTACCTGTAACAGGTCCTGACCTTACTCTGGAAAAGGCTACTTTAAAAGATTTGTTTTCTAATAGCGCATCTCGGATTCGCCACTGATATGATATTTTGATTGGCGGAATGAGTATTAATAAAAATAAGATTGGAAGAACTCCTGAAATGTAATTTCTTTCTTTTAATATCTACGATACTCTAAAACAAAAGTCTGACCTTTAAAGGGGTGAGTTGAAATTTCCACCTTCTCCCTCCCTCTTCCCTTCCTGTTTTCCTTCCTTCTTTCCCTCCACCCTTCCTATTTTCCTTCCTTCCTTCCCTCCACCCTTCCTATTTTCCTTCCTTCCTTCCACCCTTCCTATTTTCCTTCCTTCCTTCCTGTTTTCCTTCCTTCCTTCCCTCCACCCTTCCTATTTTCCTTCCTTCCTGTTTTCCTTCCTTCCTTCCACCCTTCCTATTTTCCTTCCTGCCCTCCTTCCTGTTTTCCTTCCTTCCCTCTACCCTTCCTATTTTCCTTCCTTCCTTCCCTCCACCCTTCCTATTTTCCTTCCCTCTACCCTTCCTATTTTCCTTCCTTCCTTCCCTCCACCCTTCCTATTTTCCTTCCCTCCACACTTCCTATTTTCCTTCCTGCTTTCCTTCCTTCCTTCCCTCTACCCTTCCTATTTTCCTTCCTTCCTTCCCTCCATCCTTCCTATTTTCCTTCCCTCCACCCTTCCTATTTTCCTTCCTTCCTGTTTTCCTTCCTTCCCTCCACCCTTCCTATTTTCCTTCCTTCCTTCCTGTTTTCCTTCCTTCCCTCCACACCTCCTATTTTCCTTCCTGCCCTCCTTCCTGTTTTCCTTCCTTCCTTCCCTCCACCCTTCCTATTTTCCTTCCTTCCTGTTTTCCTTCCTTCCCTCCACACCTCCTATTTTCCTTCCTGCCCTCCTTCCTGTTTTCCTTCCTTCCTTCCCTCCACCCTTCCTATTTTCCTTCCTTCCTTCCCTCTCCTAGTTTCTTTCCTTCCCTCCTTCCTATTTGCTTTCCTTCCCTCCCTCCATACTTCCTATTTTCCTTCCTCCCCTCCCTCCATTTTCGTTCCTTTCTTCCCTCCTTCCTTCTCAGAATCTTAATAGTATTTCTCAATTTTGGTCACTTTTAAGAGGCTGGAGAATTCTGGGCGTTGAAGTCCAGCCATCTTCCGAGCTTGACAGACTGCTGCAGGACCTTGTTTCTTGGCCCTTTTATCTGGCGTCTTCTCTGTTTTCCACCGTTTTCTTTCTAGCCCTGAGAAGAGAAAAAAGGGTTTTCATTTCTCCAGGCAACCCCGGGGCAGACCCGCGGAATAGGGAGGGGTCTCCTGGCACTTATACAAGAGTGCAGCCACGTCCCCTCTTCCTCGTGCAATCTCCTCCCCCGGCTGCAAATCCTTCTGCCTTCCCACGCTCGACCCCTCGTGGGCCACTCCCGTGTCTGGGTGCGCGTGGAACGCCACCCCTAAACTCCCCCCAACCTGCATTCACACAACCCCGCCCTCCCCCAGCCTCAACAGGGGCTGGCTAGCGCGGGCTTCTTGCATCGCGTGCAGAGAACCCTCCCCAAAGACGCGCGTTCGTTCCGCGCGCACGTGTGCACGCGGCATGCAACGCCCGGAGGCGTCCCCGGGCCCCGGCACTCTGCACACGCTCGCCGGCGCCCTCCTTCCAACCACTTCCGGGGTTGCAAAGAGGATCCGGGGCTGAGCCCGGCTCTCCAGCGACGCTTCCTCCTTGCAACGTTGCCCGGCTGCTCCTGCCTGCCTGGCTGGCTGCTTCGGCAACCGGGCGCCCCTTCCCGGCCCAGGATGTGGTTCTTCGCCCGGGACCCGATCCGCGACTTCCCCTTCGAGGCGGCCTCCCCGCCGGAGCCGCCGCTGCCGCAGCCGGGGGGCGCCTGGCAGCTGCACCGCGGGCGGAGGAAGGTGGGCCGGGGGCTGCACAGGGGTCGCCCGGGCAGGGGGCGGGGAAGGAAGGGGAGGGGGGGCTGCACAGGGGTGACCCTCGGGGGAGAGGCGCAAGGTGGGGATCCCCCTGGGGCAGGGGGATCTGGGGTGAAGGGGGGGGGCGCTTGGGACCCCTGCGTGGGTCGATCCTTGTGTGATCAGACGGGATTCAAGCATTGACTGCACTTTTCTCAGCCACTTTTAAGAGGGGAGGACTTCAACTCCCAGAATTCCCCACCCAACTATGCTGGATGGGGAATTCTGGGAGTTGAAGTCCTCCGATCTTAAAAGTGGCTAAGATTGGGAAACACTGGCCGCCTGGGGAATTCTGGGAGTTGAAGTATATATAATTTTTATAGGGTTAGGGTTTTTAAAAACAACCTTCTTAATATTTAGCAAACAGCATGTGGTCTGGGCTCATGTATTCAAAAAACAGTGAATAATAATTTCTGTATTATAATCAATAGGCTTTCAGTGTTTCTCAACCTTGATCATTTTAAGGCATGTGGACTTCAACTCCCAGAATTCCACAGCCAGCAATGCTGGCTGTGGAATTCTGGGAGTTGAAGTCCACATGCCTTAAAATGGTCAAGGTTGAGAAACACTGGGTTAGTTAATCGCTCAATAGTCTTCTTCTTACTAGTATATATTCAATGTTACATATCACGTTCCTTTTTCTCCAACTTGTTTTTCTAGCCATTGATAAAGATTGTCCCATGTTCTAAAAGTACACTGAGTCTTCTTTCTCTTTTATCTTTAATGTCAATCTATCCATTTCTGCACAATCTATAATTTTCTTAATTAGTACTTCTGTTGGTAAGTTTTCATTTTTCCAGTATTGGGAAAATACAATTCTTATTGCAGTTAATACATGTATAATTAAGTATATACAACCTTTCTCATAGTTCCCTCCTATTATTCCTAACAGAAACAATTCTGGCTTAAAATCGAAATGTTTTTTAGTCATTTTCTCCAACCATATGTATATTTTTGACCAAAATCTTTTAGCTTTAGGAGGGCATGTCCACCAGATATGGTAATAGGTACCTGACTTTGTTTGCATTTCCAACACTGATTTGACATATTTTTAAACATTTTCGCTAATGTCACTGGTTTTAAATGCCATCTGTAAAACATTTTGTATAAGTTTTCTTTATAAGGCACTGCTTTCGTTAATTTAGCATTTCTTTCCCATAAACTTTGCCAGTTTTCTAGTTCTCTATTATGTCCAAAGTTCTTTGCCCATATTATCATTGTTTATTTTACATGTTCCTCTTCCATCTTTAAGCTCAACAAATATTTATAGAGTTTCTTAATCAATGTTTCATCTGTTTTTAGCAGCATCTGGTCAAATTCTGTTCTTTATAAAATCCCGTTGTTTTAGCATCTTTTCATATCTCATTTGAATTTGCAGTAAATGATAAATCAATACCTTGTTCTTGTAAATCTTGTTTGTCTTTCAATTTCCCTTCATTGTCCAAAATATCTTTATAGGTCATAACTTTCTTGCAATTAATTAAATTTGGGTGAGCAAATGCTTCCATTGTTGAAAGCCATCTAGGTATTTTAATATAGATTTTCGCTTTTATTTTTTCCCATTCTAGAAGAAATGCATTCTTATAAAGTGGTTTTGAAATTATCTATATATTTTATTCTTCCCATAGCAGAGAAAGGCATGCCATCCAAGTTGTAGGTCATGCCCCTTTAGGTATAATAGTCTTTTATCTCTAAGCATTATCCACTTTTTTAGCCATGATAATATAGTTGCTTGGAAGTATAATGTCCAGTCTGGCAGTCCAAATCCTCCATTTTTTTTCACTTCTTGTAACATTTTCAGTCTAATTCTAGCTTTTTTTCGTTGCCAGATAAATTTTCAGAATTGTATTTACTTCATCAAAAATAGTTTTTCCCAGTCTTACAGGGATCGTTTGAAATAAAAAAAGTAGTTTTTTCACTGTTGCTATTCTCCCCAGCATTGAAAGTTGTAAATTTTTCCACTTTTCCAGATCCAATTTTATTTGTTTTAACAATCTTACATAGTTGTCTTCTTTTATTGTTGCACATCTTGCTGTTAAATAAATTCCCAAATATTTAACTTTTTTGACTATGTGAAGGTTTAGTTTTTTGCTCGTTGGTTTTTTGTTTTTCTGTTAGATTTTTAGTTAGCACTTTAGTCTTTTCTCTGTTTATTATCAACCCTGCCACTTCTCCAAATTCCATTCTCCAAATGGAAAATATCAATGATGTAGATTACAGAGGCCATAAAAGACAAAAAAATGATAAGACTCCGGATCCAGATGGATTACCTGCAGAGCTCTACAAATCATTACAAGATATACTAAGCCCAATATTGAAAAAACTGTGCAATGAAATACTTTTGGAGGCTAAAATACCAAATACATGGACTGAAGCTAATATTATTTTAATACCCAAAGAAGATTCTGATTTGATGCAAATAAAAAATTACAGACCAATATCGTTATTAAATGTAGATTATAAAATTTTTGCCTCAGTAATAGCAGAAAGACTAAAGAAATTTTTGACCAAATTTATACATACAGACCAAAATAGCTTTTTTCCTAACAGACAGATAAAAAATAATTTTGCTGGCTGTGGAATTCTGGGAGTTGAAGTCCACATGCCTTAAAATGGTCAAGGTTGAGAAACACTGCTTTAAGATGTATGGACTTAGAATTATAGGGCTTGAAGGGACCTTAGAGGTCTTCTAGTCCAGCCCCCCCGCCACTTCAAGACTGGAGACTTCATTTCATCCTGATTCAGTTTATTTTTGAAAACCTCCGGTGATGGAACACTCAAAAGCCCAGGAGGCAAGCTAATCTGTTGATTATCAATTGTCATAAAATTACAATCAAATCAATAAAACAGAAAAGGCAGAGATAAAGGCAACGAAGCTGGAGATCTCGTTCTCCCTAGTGACTAGCTAGGATTTCATGCCTCATTTAAACATGGGCGCGTGGGGGCCACTTGGATCTGGGGAACTGTCCTCTTGACCATTGATTATGGCCTGATTGTGGCTAGCAAATAACCGCCATTCTCTCTCACCCCTGCTCCTTTTCATTCTCACAGACTACGGGAGAACCGGTCTCTCTTTTCGTACACGAGGTGAAGCCGAGTTCCGAAGAGCAGACCCAGCTTGCCAAAACAGCCTTTAAATTCCTCAAGACGCTCCGGCACCCCAATATCTTATCCTACATTGATGGCTTAGAGGTATCTTAAGATTATTTCAGCAGCAGGCCTTTGAAACCTGGGCAGAATCTCTTGGGGAGCAATAGCAACCCTATTATTATTATTATTATTATTATTATTATTATTATTATTATTATTAATCACCACACAGTCAGCCAGACGTTCAGACTGGATTTGGCATTTTGTCTACCTATCGAGTCCTTACCCAGGACCTGGGATAGGCAGATGTGGAAGTTTGATGGTATTACAGATATTGTCGCAGGATGGAAGCAGTTCCTATTACGGCCGCCTTTTGCAATTGACTAATAGCGAATTTGTCAATGCCGATGATGGTGTTCAAGTGGTGCTCCAGTTGTTTTGGGATTGCACTCAAGGAGCCTATGACTATTGGTACTACCCTTGCTTGCTTTTGCCACAGTCTTTCTATTTCTATTTGTAGGTCTTTGTATTTTGTTATCTTTTCCAGCTCTTTCTCTTCTATTCTGCTGTCTCCAATTATTATTATTATTATTATTATTATTATTATTATTATTATTATTATTATTCTCAGAGAGCATCAAGCACTCCTCATTTCAACCCTGAGCTACAAGTATTTTCCTTTCCTGAGGTATTTCATTGTCTAACTAGGTAACATCGTCAGTGGAAGTGAGTGTGGAGTTTGCTTGGTTTATATAGAATTGCTTTCTTTGTTTTGATGGAGTTACAGTTTTCTCCTTGGTGGTTCCTTGATTAGGATATTGTTTTCTGCTTGATTGTTTCTCTGGTGTTCATCCCTGCTTATCTGGGCTTCTCTTTCTGTGGGTCCCTTGGTGTTGTCCGAGCTTGGTTGTTGTCTTGCAAACGTTTCATGACCCAACATCATGTGTTGTGTGAATGTGGAATTTGTTCCCTGGTTACAGACAGTCACTTGCTCTGTCAGTGTTGGTTGAGTGTGGTTTTCTCCTTGGTGATTCCTGGATCAGGGAGTTGTTTTCTGCTTGATTGTTTGTCTGGTGTTCATCCCTGCTTATCTGGCTGGACTCAAAGTCTTCTAGTCAAAGTCTTCTGGTCTTGTTTCCTTCTTAGCTTTTTACTATCTCTTGTCAAAGGTGTGCAAATGTGATTTATCCCTGTGAAACATCTGCAAGAAAACCAACCAAGCTCAGAGAGCACCAAAGATCCCACAGTCCTCCTCCCCTCCCTCCTCTTCCTCTCTCCTCTTCCTCCCTCCCTCCTCTTCCTCCTTCTCCCGTCTCCCCTTCCACTCTGTAAACCCCACTCCCTTCTAGCAGTGATAATGTTACCTAGTTGGGTCATGAAATGTCTGCAAGAAAACCACCCAGCTCAGAGAAGACCAAGAGCATCATACTCCTCCTACTCCTCCTCCTCCCATCTTCCTTCCATTCTGTAAACCCCACTCCCTTCTAGCACTGATAATGTTACCTAGTTGGGTCATGAAATGTCTGCAAGAAAACCAGCCAAGCTCAGAGAGCACCAGGGAAGCTACAGTTAAACCCCGAGCTACAAATATTCTCTTCTATTGGAACCAGGACATTCCTAACCAGCCGTCCCATTTCACGACACTCTCTCCTGCAGTTCCCACTTGCCTCCCCCCCCCTCGCTTCCTCCATGATGAGAATCATGTTTTCTCCTTTGATTTCCCAGACAGAGAAAAGTTTGCATGTGGTCACTGAACCGGTGACACCGCTGCCGGCCTACTTGGAGTCGCGGGGGGACGGGAAGGGCTTGAGCGAGCCGGAGATTTCCTGGGGTCTTCATCAGATTGCGGTGAGTGCTGGGGAGACCGGTATCAGGGTGGGGAGTGCTGGGTTAGACCCTTTAACTTTCAGTACAAGTAGTCTTCAAGTTATGATGCTTGCTTAGTGACCGTTCCAAGTTAGCACTAGCACTAGCAATATCCCTTAAACCAGGGGTTCTCAACCTTGGCAACTTGAAGACTTGTGGACTTCAACTCCCAGAATTCCTCAGCCAGCTTTGCTGGCTGAGGAATTCTGGGAGTTGAAGTCCACAAGTCTTCAAGTTGCCAAGGTTGAGAACCCCTGCCTTAGACTTATATACCGCTTCACAGTGCTCTACAGCCCTCTCTAAGCGGTTTACAGAGTCAGCCTCTTGCCGTTCCCAACAATCTGGTCCTCATTTTACCCACCACGGAAGGAGAGAAAGCTGAGTCAGCCTTGAGCCGGTTAGGATCGAACTGCTGGCAGTCAGCAGAGTCAGCCTTCAATGCTGCATTCTAACCATTGCGTACCATGGATGGATGGATGGATGGATGGAAGGAAGGAAGGGAAGGAAGGAAGGAAGGAAGGAAGGAAGGAAGGAAGGAAGGAAGGAAGGAAGGAAGGAAGCAAGGAAGCAAGGAAGCAAGGAAGCAAGGAAGGAGAGAAGGAGAAAAAGCACGAGCAATATCCCTTACACTTATGTACCGCTTCACGGTGCTTCACAGCCCTCTCTAAGCGGTTTACAGAGTCAGCCTTTTGCCCTTCCCAGCAATCTGGATCCTCATTTTACCGACCTTGGAAGGATGGAAGGCTGAGTCAATCTTGAGCCGGACAGGATCGAACTGCTGGCAGTCAGCAGAGTTAGCCTGCAATCCTGCATTCTAACCACTGCGCCACCACAAAGAAGCTATATTCCCAAATATATATATATATTTGTTAGGTTTATATCCTGCGTTTCCTGCAGGAATCCAGCAGGCTGTGTGAATTCCACCTCCTTGACCTTGGCTGTGACCCGTGACCTCTTCCTTGACAGACATCTGTCCCCCTCCCCTTTTCCTTCCTAGAAAGCCCTCAGTTTCCTGGTCAACGACTGTCACCTGATCCATAACAACGTCTGCATGGGGGTGGTTTACGTGGACCGTGCTGGCGAGTGGAAACTTGGCGGGTTAGATTACATGTGCCCGGCCCAGGGGGACGTCACCGTGCCACGGAAGGGGGTCCCCGAGCTGGAGAAATACAACCCTCCCGAATTCTCCGATAGCACCAAAAACATTGGAGAGAAATGGTAAGCTCACTTCTCTTTCTCTCTCCACATTTTAAATTAGCATTCTTGAAATCCAGGTAATCCTCAACTTATAACAGTTCATTTAGGGACCGTTCAAAGTTACAACAGCGCTGGAAAAAATGATTTATGACCATTTTTCACACTTAACGACCATTGCAGCCTCCCCGTGGTCACATGATCCACATTCGGCTGCTCGGCAACTGACTCCTATTTATGACGGTTGCAGCGTTTCCCGGGTCAGGTGATCCTCTTTTTGCAACCTTCTGACAACAGAGTCAGCGGGGAAGACCGATTCACTTAACAGCCGTGTTACTAACTTAACCTGCAGTGATTCACTTAACAACCGTCATAAAATGGGCCAAAATTCAAATTTGCCTAGCAATAGACATTTTGGGCTCCATTGTGGTCGTAAGTCGAGGAGTAGCTGTACAGAGTTTCTTGAGCTTGCTCACTGTGCTGGCTGGGGAATTCTGGGAGTTGAAGTCCACCCATTTTAAAGTGGCCAAGGTTTTGTCGGAGGACTTGTGGATCTTGCATCTGCACATATGAGCAGGATCTCATTTGGGGGGGGGGGGGTTGACCAGAGCCCCCAAATAAATTTTGGGGGTTTGCAAAGGAGCAGAGGTGGGGGGAGGACAACCAGCTTTTGAAGACAGGAGAGCTGTCCATGCAAAATGCAGTTGCTTAAAGTCAGATTTGGATCCAGTGGGATTCAGATTACCATCCGATTTGCATGAGGAATATCAATCCAGTTTCTGAATCGGTTGCGGGAGGAAACTTTTTCAGGAACGCTTGAACTATCTGCACCAATTAGAACATTCCTGAAAGCTTGGAGGTGCCCCTTGGAGACTGTCTATCAGTTTGTGCCATTACGAAGCAAGAAATTATTAACCAGTTTCCAGGGATCTAATCAATAAAGGCTAAGTTCAATTAAAAGTGTTTAAATTTTCGGCCTTTTTGCTTTGACGAGGGCAGCAGTGGGTCAAAGATCCAAGGTAAAATCGGCCACTCGTGTGTCCTGTGCTACAGATGTTGAGACTCGGGGGAAAAAGTGCAGAGAAGAGCAACAAGGATGATCAGGGGACTGGAGGCTAAAACATATGAAGAGCGGTTGCAGGAAGTGGGGATGTCTGGTCTAGTGAAAAGAAGGATGAGGGGGTGACATGATTGCAGTCTTCCAATATCTGAGGGGCTGCCACAGAGAAGGGGGGGGTCCAACTATTCTCCAAAGCCCCTGAAGGCAGGACAAGAAGCAATGGATGGCAACTAATCAAGGAGAGAAGCAACCTGGGACTTCCTGACAGTTAGAACAATTAACCAGTGGAACTCCTTGCCTCCAGAAGTGGTGAATGCTCCAACACTGGAAGTTTTTAAGAAGAGACTGGACAGCCATTTGTCTGAAATGGTTTAGGGTCTCCTGCTTGAGCAGGGGGCTGGACTAGAAGACCTCCAAGGTCCATTCCAGCTCTGTTATTCTGTAATCCTGTAAATTCTTTCCATAGTTGGTATCTTTCCTTGAAAACAAGGCAGGTTCACAAAGTGCCAACGGCTAAGCTTTGTGTTAACATAACTAAAGGCTGAATGTACACATCCTGTTATACAGTAAACTTAACTACATCCAGGTTGAAGTGATGGCTTGGTTCACGTGCAGCTCTTTATTTGAAACAGGGTTCTCTGCAAAGACACAAACCTGTTTTTAACCTGGTTTTGTCTTTTGTGGGAACCCCCTCAGCATAGACCAGACATGTCAAACTCGCGATGTCACGTGATGTCGCGCAACGTATTGGGATGGTTTTGCCATTGCTGGCAATGGGGTGGGTGTGGTTTCTGAATGACAAGTCCGGCGCGTGGGCCGACAGTTTGACACCCCAGGCATAGACTGATCTGTGTCGTATTTTGGGGGGTTAAATGTGTCTTGGAAACAAACTATTCAGTGGCCATGGAGCTAGTCCTCATGATCCTGATTTGACTCAAACTTGTTTTCTGTGTGTGGTGATAGGTCAGCAGACATGTGGCGATTTGGCTGCCTCATCTGGGAGGTCTTCAACGGTCCCTTGCCCCGATCATCCTCCCTGCGGTCTCTCAACAAAGTGAGTCTCTTTGGTGACCCTTTCCCAAAAGTTCATTGAACAGTGGTTGACTGAACTAATCCCTGGGTTCACACAACCCCATAAACTGTAACCGATAGTTCCCACCATTGATTGGTTGCGAGAATGCAGGTTTCATCTGATGAATGAAATGGGATGGATACAGATGGACAAAATGGTCTTCTAGGCTGGACATGGAGTGGACCGAATGGAGGTGACTAGCTTTGTACGTCACTGGGTGGTGTCAATTCCTTTCTCTCTTTTTCCCTTTTCTCCCGGATGTAGAAGAGTGGCCTGGCGTATTAGGAGTAAAAGATAGAAATGGATTAGACCAGTTTTCTCAACCCTGACGACTTTAAGTTGGGTGAACTTCAACTCCCATTCTTGCTGGCTGGGGAATTCTGGGAGTTGAAGTACACCCATCTTAAAGTTGTCAAGATTGTAAATCAGTGCCCTAAAATGAAGCGTGTTTCATCTACTCCATAAGTGTAAGGACCCACCCCGCTTTGCATCTTAAGAAGACAGAACTCTTGGAATCTTTCTTCCAACAGGCATCTTTATTAAGAGAAAATGGTTGCAGGCGTTCTAGACAGGACTTGGGGTCCAAGCTCTCCCATTCAAGGTTTTAAGGGGTTCCCCAGTAGCCCCCCATCACCCCCTTCTTCCAGCGACAGTCTCAGGCATTACACTCCCACCCCCTTTTCCTTACTGCCGGCTGGATGGAGACTTCAGAGAGAACTACATGCAAGGTAATAGCCTCATTGTTATGGTTAGTCCTTTTGGTGGTATCCACATCCAGTCTCTTTGAATTGTACTGAAGGAAGTGAGGGCCATAAAGCCCCTTTGCTCACCCCTTCCCTTCATCGTATGACAGAATCCAGAGAGGGCAGGAATGGGGTTTTCCATAGTTAATAACTAGAGGTGAAATATAATTGGATTCTGACAATAAGGTTGCAAAGTGAGAAGGCTGCAAGTTGCACAGTTGACATTGGAACTGCTCGAGACATGACAACAAGTGTCCAACTTGTCTTGCCTCTCTTGCTTCTGGGTGGACCAGCTTTATGTTGGAGACCACCCTCTCCTTTTTTCTGACCTATCTGCCTGCTTCCTTCTCTTCCAGATCCCTAAGTCCTTGGTGCCCCATTACTGTGAGTTGGTTGGTGCGAATCCCAAAGTTCGACCCAGCCCAGCCAAATTCCTGCAAAATTGCTCTCGGACGGGCAGTTTCATGGACAACAAGTTTGTGGAGACCAACCTTTTTCTGGAGGAGATCCAGGTGAGAGGTGGGGAGCACAGTGGCTTATCCACCAAAGGCTCTTGGCCTGTGTCTGCTTGATTTTATGACTATGACTTTCCATGGGGCTAAATTGTAGGAGGGGTCCTCCTTGTGGATCAGAGAACTTGCTTGGAACCTGGAACATTTCAGATTCCAATTCCCATATCTGAAAATAGCTTGAAAAGATTTAGGATTAAGGAATGATTGTAAGGAAATTAAGCTTAATAAGAACTTTGAAAAAAGATGTATAGTGATTTAATTAATTTTTACAAATAGAAGTGAGATATAAATGGATGAGAACAGATGTTACAGGTAGATGTTATGATAGATAAGTAGTATTTCTATAATATATGAAATATGACAATATTGTGATGATATATTTAAGTGGAAAACTTGGATATTTAGATGTTAATTATTGAGAAAATTATGATTGATAAGAATTGTTTGAATATTATGGAGAAATTGAATTTAAACAAGATTTATGAAAATAAGATATATGGTGAATTAATAAGGTAACTTTTCTGAACATAACATAAGTTGATAAGAAAAAATGCTATATATGGACACTATTATTGTTGGTATAAATATAGAAGAAAATGTTTTTATTTAATCATTTATATATGGATAATATTAAATATTAAAATTATATTTGTTTAATGCTGAAGAAGGAGAATATTATTGGGAGAAGAGAGGATGAAGAAATATATTATCAATTGATATACTAATTATGGAAATATAACAATTAATTATTATTGACTGTTAATTATTATTGATTGTAAAAAAAAATCATGAACCAAGACAACACGCTGTACACCAGGCACTAAGGATGTTATTGTAAAACATTAATAAAACTCTTACAAAAAAAAGATTGCCACGCATCCTAAAATATATTTAAAAATCCCCCCAGCTTTTTTATGAAGACAAAAAGTCATTGAAATTACCAATGGTAATTTGTTGAAAAGTTATAATAGCCATATCCCTTAGACCAGTGGTTCTCAACCTGTGGGTCGGGACCCCATTTGGGGTCGAACGACCATTTCACGGGGGTCGCCAAATAACGCAGTCCGCTATTTTTCCCCCTTTTCCTTAGCTGTGCTCCTCCCTTTTATTCTATTGGCTTTTGAAAGCCAATAGAATAGACTCTCTTGAATAGAGTCTAATTCTATTGGCTTTCAAAAGCCAATAGGAATTGTCCAGGCTGTCTCTGCCCTGCTGAGCCCGCCCAAAGCCCCATTCTGCAAATGGTGCTGCACCAGCTGAGTAGTCCTCAACTTACGACCGGTTGAGTAGTCCTCAACTTACGACCGGTTGGGGGTCGCGGCATTAAAAAGGTTGAGAACCACTGCCTTAGACTTATCTGCTGCTTCACGTGTTTTACAGCCCTCTCTAAGCAGTTTACAGAGTCAGCCTCTTGCCCCAAACAATCTGGGTCCTCATTTTACCAACCTCGGAAGGATGGAAGGCTGACAGTCGGCAGAATTGAGTCGGTCAGGATCGAACTGCTGACAGTCAGCAGAGTTAGCCTGCAATCCTGCATTCTGACCACTGTGCCATGATAAAGATCATTCAGTGATATTGTTCTTATCATACAGGTTGTCCTTGAGTTATAACTGTTCATTCAGTGACCATTTGAAGTTCCGACGGTGCTAAAGGAAGGGACATAGGTCTGGTCCTTGAAGTATGATAAGATTTTCTGATAGGTGGCTTTGGGTAATGAAGGAAAAAAATTGGGAAGCACTGCCACAAGGCATAATATTCCTGTACAACAGTGATTTTCAACCACTGTCATTTTAAGACGTGTGGACCTCAACTCCCAGAATTCCCTAGCTAGCTATTGTCAGCCATCCCATTTGGCACGCCCAACAAAAGAAACTCCCGGCTCTTTAGGATGACCAAGAGTGTAGCTTTATTGAAAGGTCCATCTAGGCACAGCAGAAGAAAAGTCAGTTCTGGGATTTTCCTGCGAAAACCCACATAGATAAAACCCCCTTTCACCCCTCTGGTCCACCTACAGTTCATAGTTTACCAACTGAGTTCAGTTCTTTTGTTTTGGGAAAAACTGTCTGTGCCACTCAAACATTCTTCATAACAGATTGGGCCTCCTTCAGGTCCCGTCGGCCAGACAATGACGGCTGGTGGGCCCTCGGGGAAGGGCCTTTTCTGTGGCGGCTCCGACGTGGTGGAATCAACTTCCCCCTGAGATTCGAACTATTCCCACCTTGCCGGCCTTCAAGAAAGCTATTAAAACTCTCCTGTTCCGGCAGGCCTGGGGTTGATGTCCCCGGGGGGGGGGGCGGGATACGATTGGGACATGCTGTGTGAATGTACTCATTTTTATTGTTATATTTATTGTTTTAATTTTGTACGCTGCCCTGAGTCCCTAGGGATTGGGCAACATATAAATTTTATTAATAAATAAATAAATAAATAAACTTGACCTTGATAGATAACGTCTCTCCAGAAACAGAAGGCTCTCGATGCATTCCGTAGCCTTTCCCCCCCCCCCCCTGAAATTCACCCATCCTCCTCCCATCACTGTTTGGCAAACTAAGCGAAAGCAGGTACAGGCAACTATGGAGTTGAGTCAAATTTGAAAGCTATGTACACAGACGTGCACAAGTCTTAAAGTGGCCAAGTTCAGAAAAAAACCGCCGTAGAATATATAGGCACGAAACCTCCACTTGGTGGCCTCCAGAGTTGGTTGCTTCAATAAAAGGTATCAAATATCCTGATACCCTTGTTGAGGCTGGTCAGATAATGGGGTCTTTCCCACATGGGATCTGTGGGAATCCCTGGCTCCAGCTTGGTTGGAGCCCATGAATTCCATGCCTCCCCCCTTCCTGTCTCCAAGCTGAAAAGAGTGAGGGGGGGGCAGATTTGAACACGTAACTCTTGGTAACGCCTCTTTCCACAGATTAAGGAGCCGGCCGAGCGGCAGAAGTTTTTCCAGGAGCTCAGCGACAACCTGGATAATTTCCCGGAGGATTTCTGTTGCCACAAGGTCCTTCCTCAATTGCTGATGGCCTTTGAGTTTGGGAATGCAGGAGCCATCATCCTCACGCCGCTCTTTAAGGTAGGCCACTGTGCGGAACGAGGAAAAAGGCACGGATCACCGAGGCTTGAAAGAAAACAGAGGTGGTTTCCCCAAAGTTGGGGTAGGATGGAGGTTATGACTTAACCATGAGGCTGTCTTCATTTCCTTTAATCCTGACCTGCCTGTTGTGTATCCGCTTGCTTCTGCTCTTTGCGATTGTGGTGACGTGCAGACAACATCATACATGTATACCTGTCCTTTGTGCCCCAATCAATGTATAATGGAAGACCTCATGGCGGCATTACACAAACCAATTAATGTTGCTAGTTTCAATAAAAAAATGAGAGTCCGACTATAAAATACCAGATTTGTACAAATTAAGCAGATCTTGCTTAATTTGGGCAAGATCTCTTTAACTTGCACATTTGCACGTAGCTTGTATTTTATAGTTCAAATTTTAAATTTTTACATTTTATGTCATATAGCATGACTTATTTTAGTTGTGATGCTTCTGACACAAATAAACGAATAAATAGACCTGCTGTGTTTATTCAAGATGCTTAATGAGATAGCAAAAGTCCCAGCAAATGTATTCGTACAAAATACTAAATCTCGGTTAGGATTCTGTTTGTGAATTAATGTAAACAGATTTGTTTACAGATAGTCCTCAGGTTACAGTCGCAATTGGGACCTGAAGATTTGTTGTTAAGCAGTGCAGTCATTAAGATTTTTGCTCTGGTTGTTAAGTGAATTATTGTGGTTGTTAAGCGAGGTATCACATGACCTGCAACCTTCCCTGTTGATTTCCCCATTGACTTTGCCGGAAGCTGGCTGGGAATGTCACAGTTGCAGATCACGTGACCCCAAGACACTGCAACCGTCGTAAATACAAAGCATTTGAATTTTGGTCACATGACCATGGGGATGTTGCAACGGAGTTAAGTCTGAAAAATGGTCATAAATCACTTTTTTCAGTGCCGTTCCAACTTTGGTCAGTAAACAAACTGTTCTACGTTGAGGACTCCCTGTAATTGATCCTAGTTAACCCATTTTCTGAGATCAGCCAGTAATTATACTGGGCCGCATTCCCACCACGTGCTAACCCCCCCCCCGCAAAACAAACAGGTAAGCAATGTTAACATTCCTCAGATTTGGTGTATTGTATGAAAACAGACAATTAATTTGTCAGCCTTGGGCTATTAATAAAATCTCTGGGGTTGTTTTTGTTGTGGGCAGCACCACCCAGTTGTGCATCTTTATTAGAAGAGGGGGATGCATTTATTTATTTTTCTAAATACATTTGCCCATTCTTGACTTCTTCTGTTCCTCCCTTTCTCTCCCTCTCTCTCTCCCTCCCTCTCTCTCCCTCTCTCCCTCTCTCCCCCTCTCCCTTTCTTTCTCTCTCTCTCCTCCTCTCTCTTTCCCTCTCTCTCTCCCCCTCTCTACCTCTCTCTCTCTCTCACCCCCTATCCCTCTCTCCCTCTCCTTCTCCCTCTCTCTCTCCTCTCTCTCCCTCTCTCTCTCTCCCTCTCTATTTCTCTCTCCCTCTCTCCCTCTCCCTCTCTCCTTTTCCCCCTCTCTCTCTCCCCTCTCTCTCCCCATCTCTCTCTCTCCCCCCTCTCTCTCTCACTCCCTATCTCTCTTTCCCTCTCCTTCTCCCTCTGTCTCTCCCCCCTCTCTCTCCCCCTCTTTCCCTCTCTCTCTCTCCCCCTCTCTCTCTACTTCTCTCTCCCTCTCTCCCCCTCTCCCTCTCTCTCTCTCTCTCCCTCTCTCCCTCTCTCCCCCTCTCTACCTCTCTCTCTCTCACCCCCTATCTCTCTCTCCCTCTCCTCCCTCTCTCTCTCCTCTCTCTCCCTCTCCCTCTCTCTCTCTCCCCTCCTCTCTCTCCCTTCTCTCTCTCTCTATTTCTCTCTCCTCTCTCTCCCTCTCTCCTTCTCCCTCTCTCTCTCCCCCTCTCTCTCTCCCCTCTCTCTCCCCCTCTCTCTCTCCCTCTCTCCTTCTCTCTCTCTCTCACCCCCATCCCTCTCTCCCTCTCCCCCCTCTCTCCTTCTCTCTCTCCTCTCCCCTCTCTCTCTCCCTCTCCCCCTCCCCTCTCCCTCTATCTCTCTCCCTCTCTCTCTCTCCTCTCTCCTCCTCTCTCTCCCCTCTCTCCCCCTCTCCTCCCTCTCTCTCTCCTTCTCTCTCACTCTCTCTCTCTCTCTCTCTCTCCCGCCTCTCCTCTCTCTCTCTCTCTCTCCCTCTCTCTCTCCCTCTCTCTCCCTCTCCCTCTCTCTCTCTCCCTCTCTCTCTCTCTCCCCTCTCATCTCTCTCCCTCTCTCTAGTCTCTCTCCCTCTCTCTCATCCCCTCTCTCTCTCCCCTCTCTCTCCCCCTCTCTCTCTCCCTCTCTCCTTCTCTCTCTCTCATCCCTCTCTCCTCTCTCTCTCCCCTCTCTCTCCCTCTCTCTCTCTCCCCTCTCTCCCTCTCTCTCCCTCTCTCTGTTTCTCTCTCCCTCTCTCTCCCTCTCTCCTTCTCCCTCTCTCTCTCTCTCTCTCACCCCCTATCCCTCTCCCCCTCTCTCTCCCTCTCTTTCTCTCCCCCCCTCTCTCCCCCTCTCTCTCTCTCCCTTCCTCCTCTGCTTTTTTCCCCTTTTTCCAGGTGGGGAAATTTTTGAATAGCCAGGAATACCAGCAAAAAATCATCCCTGTGATTGTGAAGATGTTCTCTTCCCCAGACCGGGCCATGAGGATCCGTTTGCTGCAACAGGTTGGCAGGCGGCCAAATCAAATAGTTGCATTTGGACCTGTGGATTTGTTAGAGAAAGCCGGTGGTTGCGTCCTTGCCTCCGTCTTTAAACAGAATCTCAGATTGAATCCTGCATGGGTTGAGAGATTGAAATCAATGGGCTTTAAAGGAATTCTGTAACTCACCCAGCCTGGTGGTCACCTTTTCTTTTTAATAACAATTTTTGTTCTTGTTAAATTTTTAATAATTGTTTAATAACATTGGTTGAAAAGGGAGCTACCAGGCTCCCAAACAACTAATGATGGCCTGCTAAAGTTATTTAAACTCAATCAAAGTTATTTAAACTCAGTTTAAATTAGAATTTCCCAGCCAACACACTGCTAAAGTTATTTAAACTCAATCAAAGTTATTTAAACTCAGTTTAAATTAGAATTTCCCAGCCAACACACTGCCTGGTGTCCTAAATGGGAATTAATGTTAGACTCATAAAATTGGAACTGAACTCAGAGGTCATCTAGTCCGTCTCCCCCCCCCCCCCCAAACAACTTGGCACATGCTGGTTGGAAAATTCTGGTAGTTGAAATCCCTACAGTGACCAAATTTGAAAAACACTGGTGCAGTATACTGTGTAAACCCAAGAAGAAGTTAATTGAACAAAAAAGCATTTGTGAGACTCTTCTGTTATTTTCCACTAGAAAGCCAGAAAAAATGGACGGTGAAGCTCTTTTTTTTCATTAGGAGGCTGCATTTTTATTTACTAAACAAATTCATGGAGCTGCATACTTGTATACACGTGCTTGCGTGCTTTGGGAAGAGGTTGGGAGCTTAGTGTGTGGAGAGCCAATTGGGTCTAATAGTTAAGGCTAGAGATTGTGAGTTCAAGTCCCGTCTTCACCATGAAAGCTGGGTGGGAGACTTTGGGCCAATCTCCAAGAGACCATGAATTCTAGTCCTGCATTAGACATGAAAATCATCTAGAACAGTGGTTCTCAACCTTTTTAATGCCGCGACCCCCAACCGGTCGTAAGTCGAGGACTACTCAACCGGTCGTAAGTCGAGGACTACTCAAGTGGTGCAGCACCGTTTGCAGAATGGGACTTTTGGCGGGCTCAGCAGGGCAGAGACAGCCTGGACAATTCCTATTGGCTTTTGAAAGCCAATAGAATTAGACTCTATTCAAGAGAGTCTATTCTATTGGCTTTCAAAAGCCAATAGAATAAAAGGGAGTAGCACAGCTAAGGAAAAAGGGTGGGGGGAAATGGCGGACTGCGTTGTTTGGCGACCCCCGTGAAATGGTCGTTTGACCCCAAATGGGGTCCCGAGCCACAGGTTGCGAACCACTGATCTAGAAGACTTTGGGCCAGTCCCCTTCTCTCAGCCCAGCCCACCTCACAAGGTTGTGGGGGAAATAGGAGGAGGAGGAAAGTGTGTTGGATATATTTGCCACATTGAGTTGTTTGTCAAAATAATAAAGGCAGACTAGGAAGGGCGAAGCGAAGCTCTTGTCTCAACACCAGGAGGCTGTGAGTTCAGGCAGCTGCAGATATTTCTCTCTCTCTGACACAAAGAAAAAATATCTGTTGTGAACTCCGTGTAGGCGTCAGGAAGGGCATCCGGACAGTAAATGCTCAGCTCTGTTCAGTCACCCAGAAATAAGAGATTACAGCAGTGGTTCTCCACCTGTGGGTCGGGACCCCATTTGGGGTCGAACGACCATTTCACGGGGGTCGCCAAACAATGCAGTCCGCCATTCCCCCCCCCCATTTCCTTAACTGTGCTACTCCCTTTTATTCTATTGGCTTTTGAAAGCCAATAGAATAGACTCTCTTGAATAGAGTCTCATTCTATTGGCTTTCCAAAGCCAATAGGAATTGTCCAGGCTGTCTCTGCCCTGCTGAGCCCGCCAAAAGTCCCATTCTGCAAACGGTGCTGCACCAGTTGAGTAGTCCTCGACTTATGACCGGTTGAGTAGTCCTCGACTTACGACCAGTTGGGGGTGTCGCGGCATTAAAAAGGTTGAGAACCACTGGATTACAGGGACGTAAATAAATAAATAAATAAATAAATGAGGCAGGATACAAATAAGTAAAAAAAAAAAATCGTGTGAATGCAGCCCATGGGGTTTTAGCGCAAGTCTAGAAAATGGGTTTGTTCGGTGTGTTGTGTGAACCTGGGAGAGAAATTGTAGATGCATTTTGTATCTCAAGCACCAACTGACCGCAGGCGCTCTCCCTCCAGATGGAACACTTCATTCAGTATCTGAATGAGCCCACGGTCAACACCCAGATCTTCCCCCACGTGGTCCACGGCTTCCTGGACACCAATCCAGCCATTCGGGAGCAGACGGTGAAGGTGAGGCAAGATGATATAAAGGCATGTGAGAAAGATCTTGGAAGGCAGGATGAGAAGAGTCTGCCAAGGGAATTGACAGATTAGAGACAACTTTGCTCTTGGCTGAGTAATGGGTGGAGTTTCTCAGACTGTAAAAGAGACGGTGGGAGATTTGTACTTTCAGACTTACAAACAAAATTCAGTTAATGTAACCTTACAAGAAAGCAGAATTAACTCATCTGGTTGTGTTTCCTGACTGGTCTACCTGGGAAGATTGACAGATGTCTAGGGCAAGTTCTCTATCTCTGGGGGGGGGGGTGTCACCAAACCTCTTACATCCCTCCCTGCTGGGTGGGATAAACAACCTTTCATCTGTTGTGAGTCACAATCCCCCAGGCTTGTTCTGGGCGAGGAGGGCATCTTACATAACTGGTGGGATGGAAGTGGGAGGTAGGAGGAGCCCGAAGCTGAAGTTGGTGAGGTCATCTATACCTTCCCCTCAGAATATCTGGAGATTTCATCCAGGTCATCCAGGTCATGGCAGTCCCAAAGGTGCTTTTTCTTGTTTTTCTTCTCATCCATATCTTTGTTCTCAAGATCACCTGAGTGGTGCAAATGGGTATGGAGCCTTCTTGGAACTGCTGAAAGGACTGTGTTCCACACCCATTTGCACTACTTAGGTGACCCTGAGGACACAGGTCAACTTCCAAATGGCCTCACTGACTCTCTAAAAGGAGGCAAATGACCAGCTGTTTGCAAGGAGTATAAATCCTTCCATTCCCCCACCATCCAGTCAGAGCTGAAGAAGCTTCTGGGATGAGAAGCGAAACGTCTTCAAAGAAAAACAAAGTCCAGTTGCCTCCTGAAAAAGCATCTTTGGGACCTCCCCTCTGAACCTTTCTTCTTTGGCTGAAAAAAAGACCACAAGGTGATCCCAGTGTCACCATCCCTAATGTCCACCCTCCGCCCAGGGTGTCGTGATTCCGTGCCAGCCTGTGCTCCCAACAGCTGAGGAGGAGGAATCTGAGGAGGAGGTAGAGGAAGCATTTGAAGGGCCATCAGAGCCAGAGGGAGTACAGGACTCACAGTTGGATGCAGAGTCTAGGCCCTCTAGTCGTGTTTCTGATGAAGCTCAGCTGGGTGAGGAGCATGAGTCAGACTTGGAGGAATCACAACTGACGGACTTGCTAATTGACGCACGCAGACGGCGTCAATTAGCAAGAGTAAGTCAATAGAGGTCAATGAGAAACCTCCAAAGTAAGAAGAAATGGCAAGGAGAGGCACCGCCATGGGACTGCTAAATAAAGGGAGGAGGTGTGGCTGGGTGCTGGTTGCTGAAGGCAACCGTTTGAAAACTGCGTCTTGGAATCTTGCTCTGTGACTTCTCTTGTGACTTCGTGTCTGCTTTTCATCGTGTTCTTTTGGACATGAGTTTGCTGTATTTGACAGGTTTGTCAACAAAATTAAAAGGGGGTTTTGTTTTTGTTTGCAAGTCTCCAGCCTATTGTAGTAGCAGGGGTTTTGTCCTGGTGCAGTTAACAAGGACGGCAATAGGCTGGGATAGAACACAGGGAGAGACCGGGCTCCTTCTTCCAAGCTATCCCCATCTCCAAGCACCCCTGCCTTGGGGCCCATTCTTCCTGCCCCTGCGTGCCCACCCTGCGGCCTCTCGCTCAGGGGCTCCTGTCCTGTGTTCTCCTCCACAGTCCATGCTGCTCCTGGCTCCCAAACTCAGCGAGACCAACCTCAACGTGGAACTCATGAAGCACTTTGCTCGCCTCCAGGCCCGGGACGACCAGGGCCCTATTCGCTGCAATACCACCGTGTGTCTGGGCAAGATTGGACCGTACCTCAGTGTCAGCGTGAGTGGGACCGGATTCAAGGAAGCAGCGGGCAGAGGCGGGCTTTCGGAGCAGACGGTGGGAGGCTGGGAAGCAGAGATGTCCCACCTTGGTCACTTTAAGACAGTGGTTCGCAACTTCTTTAATGCCGCGACCCCCAACCGGTCGTAAGTCGAGGACTACTCAACCGGTCGTAAGTCGAGGACTACTCAACTGGTGCAGCACCATTTGCAGAACGGGACTTTTGGCGGGCTCAGCAGGGCAGAGACAGCCTGGACAATTCCTATTGGCTTTGGAAACCCAATAGAATTAGACTCTGTTCAAGAGAGTCTATTCTATTGGCTTTCAAAAGCCAATAGAATAAAAGGGAGTAGCACAGCTAAGGAAAAGGGGGAAAAAATGGTGGACTGCGTTGTTTGGCGACCCCCGTGAAATGGTCGTTCGACCCCCCAAATGGGGTCCCGACCCACAGGTTGGGAACCACTGCTTTAAGACCTTTGGACTTCGAATCCCACAAGTCTTAAAGTGGCCATGGTTGGACATCCCTGTTTTAGAGAGAGTTGGCTCTGGGAAGAAGGATGTGGGAAACTGGGCACAAGATCACAGGAAGTCCTCAACTTACGACCACAATTGGGACTGGAAAATTTGTTGCTGAATGCTGCAGTGCTTAAGTCATGTGACACCTGCACCTGATTTTGCAACCTTCTTTGCCCTGGTCGTTAAGTGAACCACCATGGTCATTAAGTGAATCACCATGGTCATTAAGCAAGCTCTCACATGACCGTGACTTGTGATGTTCCCTGCCGGCTTCCTCATTGACTCAGCTGATGATCACAGGAATTTGGGAGCCCGCAAGCGTTGTAAATACATGCGGGATGCCAGGCGCCTGGGTGACGAGTGCTGAACTGCAGGGATGCTGTATTATTGGTCATAAGTGCAAGGACCAGACCTCAGCCCCTTTTCTCAGTGTGGTTGTAATTTTGAACGGTCACTGAAGGACTGGTCACAATTTGAGGCCTACCTGTAATATATGAAAGATTGATGGGTTAAATATGGATTAAGATAAGAATGATAAAATTGGAAAGGACCTTAGAGGTCATTTAGTCCAACCCCCTGCTTGGTGCAATGCATCTTGTGTGCCACAGTACAAAGAACTTTGTACCATGGTTAGCCTTGAATGATGGACTCACTGATATACAGTAGTCCTTGAGTTATGACCAAAGCTGAGCCCACCATTTTTGTTGCTAAGTGAGACGGTTAAGTGAGTTTTGCCCCATTTTACAACCATTCTTGCTTACCACAGTTGTTAAGGGAACCACTACAATGGTTAACTTACTAGCACAGCTATTAAATGAATCTGGCTCGCCCATTGACTTTGCTTGTCAGAAAGTTGCAAAAGGGGGATCACATCACCCCGGGATACTGCGACGGTCATAACTATGAGTCAGTTGGCAAGTGCCTGAATTTTGATCACGTGATGCTGCTGCAATGGTCGTAAGTGTGAAAAACAGTCATAAATCCCTTTTTTCCCATGCCACTGCAACTTTGAACAGGCCACTAAATGAACCGTTGTTAAGTTGAGGACTGCCCGCATCAAATACCTTGATGATTGCACTTTGGGGACTACGATGCACCCTGGGCCGGAACCCTCAGTCCTTTTCTGCTGCCATTTTTTATTGCAGGTGAGCTCAAGTTGTTTGCTGGATGTTCTCTTTACAGACGAGGCAGAACGTGCTGATCTCGGCCTTCAGTCGGGCCACCAAAGACCCCTTTGCCCCCTCGCGGGCGGCCGGGGTCCTGGGCTTTGCCGCCACCCACAATTTCTTCTCCATGAAAGAGTGCGCCTTCAAAATCCTGCCAGTGCTGTGCAACTTGACGGTGGACCCCGAAAAAACTGTCCGGGACCAGGTGAGGAATGGGGTGGGGTGGGGGCAAACTCCCCTTGCAAGTTTCTGAAGGGTGGGTGGAGAATTGAGTCCACGGGGGTCTTTGGAAGCGGGTCCAGTGATTCCCCCGCCCGGTTGCTCTCTCCTTGCCTACTGTTGCACAGGGGCACACCTGTAGGGCAGGTGCTGTGCCGCCAGGTGTATCTCTGCCCTACAGGTGTGCCTTTGAGCGATGTGAGGGAAGGATGCAAGGGAAAGGACGCCCAGAGTCGCTTTATTAGGGAGAAGGGGAGGAATACGAATTTAAGAAATGAAAAATAAAATAAAAATTGGAGCCACCATTTAAAGAGGAGGGGTTTGGGTTGTTAATGCCCGAAGCCTGATTTTATGACCTTTTTTGCTAATGTCGTTAAGTGAATCCGGCGTCTTCCGTTGATTTTGCTTTTTGGAAGCCACTCGGAAGCTTGTAAATGGTGATCACCTGACCCTGGGATGCTGCATCTGTGCCCAATGTTATTACCTTTTTCCCCCTTGGTCATTAAAAGAATCGTGGTTGTTTAGTGAATAGTGTGGTCATTAAGCGAATCTTGCTTCCCCCCATTAACTTTGCTTGTGGGAAGGTCACGCATGGCGATGATGTGATCCCGGGATGCTGCAACCATCATAAATACTGTTGGTTGCCAAGAGCTTGAATTTTGATCACCTTGGGGACACTGAAGCAGTCATAAGTGTGAGGACTGGTGACGTTTTTCAGCATCATTATAACTTCAAATGGCTGCTGCAGGTCTTAAGTTGAGGACTGGCTGTATTGATGAAATTGACTATTCACTAGCTGGTTATTCATCTTGTTCTGAACCAGAATGTGCTTAAGATGGTTTACAAGTCAGTGGTTGAGTTCACATGACACTCTAAGTGAGTCTCAGAAAAGTTGAATAACTCAGCCTGTTGTGGGAAACCAGCAAGCATTTTAACACCTCAAAAACCAAGGTTAAGGCTCCCATAAAATGTGTGAGTCTGGGCCATTCCCTTTCCGTGAATCACATTACACTAAACAATGAAACACGGTTTACTAACCGGCATGGCTGACTTCACAAAGGGGATGTGAAGCGACATGACAAGCCTAAATTAACCATAGTTGTCCGTGGTTAATTCAGGCTCAGCATGCGGCTTCACCAGCCTCCTTTGTGAAGTCAGCCATGCTGGCTAGTAAACCATGTTTCATTGTTTAAGATGAGGTATGAAGGCAGCCACTTGGGTTTTATTCAGTAAACCAAGGTTAAGCAACTCCATGCAGGAACCTAGCCTTCCCTGGTTAAAATGGGGCTAACAATCTTTTGTCACCCACTCCATGGGACCCCACGGTTGGGCAGAAACAGTAACCCAGTGGTTCTCAACCTTTTTAATGCTGCGACCCCCCCCAACCGGTTGTAAGTCGAGGACTACTCAACCGGTCGTAAGTCGAGGACTACTCAAATGGTGCAGCACCGTTTGCAGAATGGGACTTTTGGCGGGCTCAGCAGGGCAGAGACAGCCTGGACAATTCCTATTGGCTTTTGAAAGCCAATAGAATGAGACTCTATTCAAGAGAGTCTATTCTATTGGCTTTCAAAAGCCAATAGAATAAAAGGGAGTAACACAGTTAAGGAAAGGGGGAAAAAATGGTGGACTGCGTTGTTTGGCGACCCCCGTGAAATAGTCGTTCGACCCCAAATGGGGTCCCAACCCACAGGTTGAGAACCCCTGCAGTAACCCATTGGAGGGTCTAGAATCACACATCCAGTTAAGCCAGGATTTGATTGATTGTACTCAACTTACAACCACAATTGACTCCAAAATTTCTGTTGCTATGAGACACATGTTAAGTGAATTTTGTCCCATTTCACAACCTTTCTTGCCACAGTTGTTAAGTGAATCACTGCAGTTTAGTTAATCACATGGCTGTTAAATGACTTTGTCGTCAGGAGGTCGCAAAAGGGGATCACGTGACTCCAGGACACTATGACCGTCATAAATACAAAGCAGTTGTCAAGTGTCTGAATTTTGATCATGTGATCAGGGAAATGTTGCAATGGTCTTAAGTATGAAAAATGGTCATAAGTCGCTTTTTTCAGTGCTGTTGTCACTTTGAACGGTCACTAAACAAACTGCTGTGAGTCGAGGACTGCCTGTAGTTTGTAGCGCTGTGGGGAAGCTTCTGATTGTGTTGGCTTTTTTTAAAAAAAAAACCATCTTTGTGTCTGTCTCATTGCTTTTTTTGTCGGGTGATTTTAATTTTTTTTCAGGCCTTCAAAACCATCCACAGCTTCTTGACTAAACTGGAGACGGTTTCAGAAGACCCGGCTCAGCTCTCAGAACTTGGTGAGACCATCCTGACCATCAAGAGGGGCCAAGCTGTTGGGTTTGGACTTTGGGCCTTGTCGGTGGTGGGATTCACCCGGTTCACACCACTTGGACAGAAGCGGTAGCTAATTTTTTGTTGCCCAGGTCGAGAACAGACTTCCGGAAGCGGCATCCACACAGAGAACGGGTTGTTCATACATTTGAATCCCACCACTGGGCCTTGTGGTTTGACTAAACCGGGGTGGGCAACTGGCAGCCAAGGATTATGTGCCCGGCTTGGCCCACTTTGCAAATCCGTCCATTCTCCCTTTTCCTGCTTTGAGCTCTGGCCACGCCTCTGCTTAGAATGCGAGGCCCCGCCCAACTTATTTGGGCCTCATGGATCTGATTCGCTGGAATCATAGAATTCTAGGGCTGGAAGGGACCTTGGAGGTCTTCTTGTCCAGGGCTTTCCAAACCTGGCCACTTTAAGACGTGTGGACCAACTCCCAGAATTCTCCAGCCAGCAATGCTTATTTGGGCCACATGGATCTGATTCACTGAAATCATAGAATACTATGGCTGGAAGGGACCTTGGAGGTCTTCTTGTCCAGGGCTCTCCAAACGTGGCCACTTTAAGACGTGTGGACTTCAACTCCCAGAATTCTGGGCATTGAAATCCACACGTCTTGAAGTGGCCAGGTTTGGAGAAACCCTGTAATCTAATCCAACCTACTGCTTAAAAAGCACTTCCTGGCATTGCAACGGTATAGCTTGAACCGGGACTCTGCCTCCCCCCTCTCTTTTCAGAAAAAGATGTCCAGGCTCCCTCCACCAGTCCCGCGGTGGGCTCAGCAGCCAGTTGGGCCGGCTGGGCTGTGACGGGGGTCTCGTCCCTGACGTCAAAGCTGATCCGGACAAACGCTGGCACAACGCCGGGGGCAGAGCAGGTGACCAGGGACGCCCCCGTCAAGACACCGTCGGAGCCCCCCAAATCAGGTCAGTGGGGCTGCTAACCCACCCTGTTGAGTGCACCAATTTAGCCAGGCTTTGAATGCTGTTGAAAGTCAGGAGGCCTCGTCTGGGTTAGGTGGGCTGTGTGAACGGGGCCAATTTTGCAATACAGGCACTCTTCGATTTACAACAGTTCACTTAGTGACTGTTCGAAGCCTCAACATCACTGAAAAAAGTGACTTATGACCGCTTTTCATACTTAACGATCGTTGTAGCATCCCCAGGGTCATGTGATTCACATTTGGATGCTTGACGACTGACTCACATTTATAACAGTTACAGAGTTCGGGGGTCACGTGATCCCCTTTTGCGAGTCAGATTCACTTAATGATGATGGCAAGAAAGGTTGTAAAATGGGGTAAACTCCCTTAACAAGTGTCTTACTTAGCAATGGAAATTTTGGAGTCCGTTGTGGTCATAAGTCAAGGACTACCTGTATATTTAAAATATTTATCTATCTCCTTATCTCTTTACCCATCTATCTGTCTGTCTGTCTATCTATCTATCTATCTATCTATCTATCTATCTATCTATACATCATCTCTATCTCTCTATCCATCCATCCATCTCTCTCTCTGTATCTATCTATCTATCTATCTATCTATCTATACATCATCTCTATCTCTCTATCCATCCATCCATCTCTCTCTCTGTATCTATCTATCTATCTATCTATCTATCTATCTCCATCCATCCATCTCTCTACGTATCTGAATATCTACCTACCTATCCATCCATCCGTCCGTCTGTCTATCCTCTATCTCTCTCTTTATTTATCTAATCTATCATATATCTATCTATCATGTCTATCAACTATCATCTATCTATCTATCTATCTATCTATCTATCTATCTATCTATCTATCATATGATTGTCTATCCAGCCCATCCATCTATTCATCATCTATCAATCCAACCATCCATCTATCTATCTCTATCAATCAATCCTCTCTCTCTCCATCCATCCATCCATCTACGTCTATCATCTCTCTCTCTTTATCTGTCTATATCATTCTATCTATCTATCTATCTATCTATCTATCTATCTATCTATCTATCTATCATTCTATCTATCATTCTATCTATCTATCCGTCCATCTCTATCTCTATCCCTCCATCTGTCTCTGTCTATCATCTCTCTCTATATATATCTGATCTATCATCTATCGATCTATCTATCATGTCTGTTTATCTATCTATCTATCTATCATCTATAACTCTATCTATCTACATCCATCCATCCATCCCTATCCCACCATCTGTCTCTGTCTATCATTATCTATCTATCTGATCTATCATCTATCGATCTATCTATCATGTCTATCATCTATGTATCATCTGTCTGTCTGTCTGTCTGTCTGTCTGTCTATCTATCTATCTATCTATCTATCTATCTATCTATCTATCTATCTATCATCTCTCTATATTTGTCCATGCGTCTGCCTATATCTAAAGCATTTATCTGCTTATCTATCTATAGGCACCGGGCCCCCTCCTGCTGCTGAGGGAGCAGCTCCCCCCCCTTCCAGCCGGTGGGACGTGGAGGAGGAGGAGGAGGAGGTGGGGGGGGAGGAGAGCACGGCAGACCAGTGGGATGATGAAGACTGGAGCAGCTTGGAGGTAAAAGGTCACCCCCCCACCGCCCACCCCACCCCCGTGAAGAGCTGAAGATGAAAAGCTGAAATGGATCAGAGATGCTGGGTCACCACAGTTCATTTGCAGATAGTCCTCTACTTAGAACTGTTTGTTTAGTGAGCATTAGAAGCTGCAACAGCACTGAAAAAAGTGACTTATGGCCGTTTTTCGCACTTAATGACCGTTGCAGCATCCCCGTGGTCACACAATCAGAATGCAGGCACTCGGCAACTGGCGTGTATTTATGATGGTTTCGTTGTTCCCGGGTCACATGATTATCCTTTGTAACCTTCCCAACCACTTTCTGACCAGCAAAGCCAATGGATGATGCCACATTCGCTTAATGACCATGTGATTCACTTAAGAAATGCAATGATTTGCTTAACAAACATGGCAGTAAAGTTGTAAAATCAGATCTGGTCATACGATGACCTGCTTTTACAACCATTGTGACTTATGACTGTCATGGGCAGACTCCATCACAATCATAAGTGGAGGACTATTTCTGAATATAAATAAATTGATAGATGATAGATGGATGGATGGATGGATAGATAGAGGGATGATAGAGGGATAGAGAGAGCGGTAGGGGTGGGTGGGTGGATGGAGAGAGAGAGAGAGAGAAGATAGGGATGGATGGGTGGGTGGGTGGGTGGGTGGATAGATAGATAGACAGACAGACAGACAGAAAGAGATGGATGGATAGAGAGAAAGAGATAGATAGATAGATAGACAGACAAACAGACAGACAGACAGACAGATAGAGATGGATGGATAGAGAGAGAGAGATAGATAGATAGATAGATAGATAGATAGATAGATAGATAGATAGATAGATAGATAGATAGATAGATAGATAGATAGATAGATAGTAGATGGGGTGGGTGGATGGATAGATGGATGGATGGATGGATGGATGGATAGATAGATAGATAGATAGATAGATAGATAGATAGATAGATAGATAGATAGATAGATAGATAGATAGATAGATAGATAGATGATATAGACATGATAGAGAGGTGATAGATAATAGATAGTCAGACAGATAGATATTATAGAAGCTTGAGAGAGAGATTTTGGAAGGGAACGGCAACTGAACTGCAGAGGCTTCTTAATTTACTTTAAACCTGGTAATTAGTTGAAATGTGAGGGCACGAAAATTGCATTACAATACAACAGTTAAAAGATGAGCATCAATAGAATAAGTCTTAAAGTAATTCAGTTCTCCTATCTACTTTTTGCAGTGATGTTTTTTGACATGGTATAAAAAGTTCTGCAGCCTCCAGAACGCAAATCTATCCTAAATTAGAGCCTTTACTTCCTAAGCTTAGCCAATGAGCACCAAACAATTCAGCATGGACAGAGACAACAGAACTATAAGTGACCTCAGGGATACGTGTGAGGGGAGATTGGTGAAAGTAGCCATGCCTGCTCCTGAAAACAAGGCTGAGGGTAAATGACTGTGGCTGCCACACAGCTGAATGTCCCTTTTCCTCTTTGTGTCAACAGCAAGAAACAGAGCAGACCAAGAGGCAGCCCAGTCCAGATGACTGGAACAGCCCCGGCTGGTCAGAACCGGCCCAGACATCCGGCAGTAGGACAGTAAGTTTGCTTCAGGCTGCCTCAGACTCACCAAGGTTTTTCCCTCTGCTGGCTTCCTCATTCGCCACGGGTGTAGTTAGAATAACACGCCAGCAGATGGCAGAATGGGACTTGCCCAGGTTCAGAAGATTTGGATTGGGATGGGAGACCACACGGTGAGCCGCAGCAGTAGTACAAAAAACAGCCTGTAGGAAAGCCGGACGGTGGGTGTGAAAACTGCCTGGATGGGCCAACACCAATCCCAAAAAACAAAGCTTGGCTTGGAGATTGTTTTCGTTAAAATGAGGTTGGGAGACACTGGGGGGGGGGGGGATGTTCCAGGGATAACAAGGCATTTGTGGGTCTAGTGTCCCCCCTCAAACCTCTGGAAATTCCAGAAGTTTCTGCCCTGAACCTCTTTCATGAGGACTAGAAACTTTCATGAGGATTTAAACATTCCTCTAAATAAACTTCCCAAAACCAGGGGCCTTTCCCCTCCCCCCCAGTTGCACAAAAGAGACTCATCCAGGTTTTCTAACTCAATTTGTCTTCCATTTCGTAGATTACCCCCACGGTCTCTGATAGGCAGGACTCCGACTGGAGCAGTTCTGCCTGGGATCTGGAGCCTTCCTGGAGCCCCCAAAAGGGGGGGGATATCCTCACGGAACCGCTCCCCTCCAGCCTCGGCACCAAAGCCGCTGCAGCCCCTCACCAAGACACCAAACTGGCGAGCGAATACAACTGGGGCAGCATCGGCTCTGGGGACAAATCCGATCCGTTTTCCTGTCTGGCTGGGAAGCCACCATCGGAGAGGCAGGTGTGTGGCTATGGGGATGCAGCCTACGTTGGGTGGATTAAACCATGAATTAGGTTAGGGTCGCTAAATGAATCGAGGACTACCTGTATTGCTGAAATTGGCATCAGGGAGGAAAACACAGGCTGGGTATTCATTTTGCTCTGAGCCAGAATGTGGTTGGGATGGTTTATTAGTCTGGTTGACTGGTTTCACACAACACATGAAGTTGGTTTGTAGGAAGCCCAGCCTATATTTCAACATGTCACAAACCAGGTCTTCGCCTTAAGCCCACCATACGATTCATCAATTTGGACGTCCCTATTCCATGAATATAACACTGGTGTCTTTGTTAATCCTGGTTTAGCGTGTAGCTTCACCAGCCTCCTTTGTGAAGTTAGCCATGGTGGTTAGTAAATCCTGTTTCATTGCTTAGCACAGTGGTTCTCAACCTTTTTAATGCCGCGACCCCCCAACCGGTCGTAAGTCGAGGACTACTCAACTGGTGCAGCACCGTTTGCAGAATGGGACTTTTGGCGGGCTCAGCAGGGCAGAGACAGCCTGGACAATTCCTATTGGCTTTTGAAAGCCAATAGAATAAACGGGAGTAGCACAGCTAAGGAAAAGGGGGAAAAAATGGCGGACTGCGTTGTTTGGCGACCCCCGTGAAATGGTCGTTCGACCCCAAATGGGGTCCCGACCCACAGGTTGAGAACCACTGGCTTAGCATGATGTGTGAATGCAGCCACTTAAGTTTCATTCAGTAAGCCCTTCTTAAACCATTCCATGTGGAAACCTAGCCACTGAATATCTTTCCCTGGATAAAATAGGGGTTAAAATCAACTTTTTGTGCTGAGCCACAGGGACTAGAAACACGAGAATGCAACTTCTTCTATTCTTAAGGATTGAGCAGATCACAACCACACCCTAAACCCCAAATGTAGAGTTGTAGCATGGTACAAATGTCAGACCAGCCTTTAAATTCATATATTCTGGGTTTTCTTAGAAAAATGCTGACGCTCTGCGTGAGTGGACCCTCGAGGGAAACTGGGCCACGCTGGACTCAGATCAAGGTATGGTTCCTTCCCATCAGCGCATTTACTCATGGAGTATGGATGTAGTACAAATAATCCTTGACTTATGACAAGGGAGCACAAACTTTTTATTGCTGAGATATTTGTTAGGTGAGTTTTGCCCCATTTTACAGCAATAGCCATAGCCCTTAGACTTATATACCGCTTCACGGTGCTTTACAACCCTCGCTAAGTGGTTTACGGGGAGCCTCTTGCCCCCAACAATCTGGGTCCTCATTTTATCCACTTTGGAAGGATGGAAGGCGGGGTCAGCCTTGAGCTGGTCAGGATCGAACCGCTGGCAGTGAGGAGTGAGTTAGGCCTTCTTAAACCCCCGTGAAATGGTCCGATGGGGTCCCGGGTTGAGAACCACTGGCTTAGCATGATGTGTGAATGCAGCCACTTAAGTTTCATTCAGTAAGCCCTTCTTAAACCATTCCATGTGGAAACCTAGCCACTGAATATCTTTCCCTGGATAAAATAGGGGTTAAAATCAACTTTTTGTGCTGAGCCACAGGGACTAGAAACACGAGAATGCAACTTCTTCTATTCTTAAGGATTGAGCAGATCACAACCACACCCTAAACCCCAAATGTAGAGTTGTAGCATGGTACAAATGTCAGACCAGCCTTTAAATTCATATATTCTGGGTTTTCTTAGAAAAATGCTGACGCTCTGCGTGAGTGGACCCTCGAGGGAAACTGGGCCACGCTGGACTCAGATCAAGGTATGGTTCCTTCCCATCAGCGCATTTACTCATGGAGTATGGATGTAGTACAAATAATCCTTGACTTATGACAAGGGAGCACAAACTTTTTATTGCTGAGATATTTGTTAGGTGAGTTTTGCCCCATTTTACAGCAATAGCCATAGCCCTTAGACTTATATACCGCTTCACGGTGCTTTACAACCCTCGCTAAGTGGTTTACGGGGAGCCTCTTGCCCCCAACAATCTGGGTCCTCATTTTATCCACTTTGGAAGGATGGAAGGCGGGGTCAGCCTTGAGCTGGTCAGGATCGAACCGCTGGCAGTGAGGAGTGAGTTAGCCTGCAGTTCCACATTCTAACCCAGTGGTTCTCAACCTTTTTAATGCCGCGACTCCCAACCGGTCGTAAGTGGAGGACTACTCAACCGGTCATAAGTCGAGGACTACTCAACCGGTGCAGCACCGTTTGCAGAATGGGACTTTTGGCGGGCTCAGCAGGGCAGAGACAGCCTGGACAATTCCTATTGGCTTTTGAAAGCCAATAGAATTAGACTCTATTCAAGAGAGTCTATTCTATTGGCTTTCAAAAGCCAATAGAATAAAAGGGAGAAGCACAGCTAAGGAAAAGGGGGAAAAATGGCGGACTGCCTTGTTTGGCGACCCCCGTGAAATGGTCGTTCGATCCCAAACGGGGTCCCGATCCACAGGTTGAGAACCACTGCTGTAATGGTTGTAAAGTGTGAAAAACGGTCATAAGTCGCTTTTTTCAATGCCATTGTAACCTTAGTCACTAAATGAACTGTTGTAAGTCAAGGACTACCTGTATTATTGTTATCCTTCTTGTTTACTATTCCTCTTGTTGTTATCATTATTCTGTTGCTTTGAACGTACACTCAAGAGTTTCTGCACCGGACAAAGATTCTTTGTGGGTCTTATCACGCTTGGCCAAATAATTCAGTTTAATTTAGTTCAATTCAACCTGGTTGCGTTCAATTCAGTTCAATTTGATTGAGTTGAGTTCAGTTCAATTCCTCTCCGCCTTGGCTACGCTCGGACGGGCTTGGCAGGCCCCCCCCCGGCCACTTTCTCTTTCTTCTCTGGATCCACAGGTCCCAGCAAGACAGAACTGGCCCGGAAGAAACGAGAAGAGAGGCGCCAGGAAATGGAGGCCCGGCGAGCCGAGAAAAAAGGGGCCAAGGGACCTATGAAGTTGGGGGTCCGGAAATTGGACTGAGACGGCCCCACTTGGCCCTTTTCCTCTTTTTCGTTTGGACAGCCTGATGCCTTCAAAGAGGCTGCAAGGAGGAGACGACTGGTCGGCAACTCTGGTTCCCCAACGCAGTTTGGAAAGGGGGCGGGAAATTCGGGGCTCCTCCATCCGGTCTTGCTTGAGGTGGGGATGGCCATCCGCACAGCCAGGCCCGGCTGCGTCCGACCTTCGTTTGCCCCCTTCAGGCCGATTTCTCTGGTTTCAAGTAGTGAAAAATAGACTCCCGGAAGGTTTGGGATGAGGGGAAGAGAGTGCTGGATCCATCACAGGGTCTCTTTGCCTCTGTGCGAAGAAAATCAGACTTTTGCACAGAGGCAAAGTACCAGGTGGATGTGTACATACATGAGGGTGTGTGTGAGTGTATGTGTGTGTGCAGGTGATAATCCGTGCCTGTTTCATCAGCTAAGATGGAAGCAGAGGAAAAAACTTTGAATGAAAAGCTGCAAGAGATTCCCATAATCCCTAGCCAATCTCTCTCTCTCTCTCTCTCTCTCTCTCTCTTTCTGTGTCTCCTTTCTCTCTCTTCCTGTCTTTTTTTCTTTCTTTGTCTCTTTCTCTCTGTCTCTTTCTCTCCTGTCTGTATCTTTTTGTCTCCTTTCTCTCTCTCTCTTTCTCTCCCCCCCCCAACTCTGGTTTGCACTTGCAAACCAAATGCCTTTGCTTGGCATGGCAAACTTGGTTAAAGTTGTCTTAATCCTTGGGTGGTTTTGCCTGCAAAATGCAGCTGCCTCAACGTGGTAGTTTGCAAATCGGGAAAATGGGTTCATTCCAAGAGGAAAAAAGTGATGCATTTTTTTCCCCTCCAGGCATAAATCTTGCAATTTGGCTGGTTTTCAGCAACCAAGGTGGGGGGGGGGCATAATTTGGTTTTTTTCCCCTCAGGGCTATTGAGAATTATGGCTGGAAGTGGGGGGGGGCAGCAGCGAGAATCTCAATCCCTCTCATGTTTTTTTTTTTCTTTTAGTAAAATAGCTTGCAAACAACTCCAGAAGATGGTTTGGCACTATTATTTTATTGGTTTTACAGCCTGATGAAAATTACACTTAATTCAAAGGTCTGGGCTGAAATTTTGGTGAAACCCAGGCTAGGAAAAACATCCTCAACCTTCTGTTACTCCTCAGATTAATCCAGAATTAGTTCAAGAAACAGCCCTTCAGGCAGTTAATGTGATTTTTTTTTAATGTGCATTCACTCAGAGGTTAGACTTCTTCTGTTTAGAACAGTGGTTCTCAACCTTTTTAATGCCGCGACCCCCCCCCCAACCGGTCGTAAGTCGAGGACTACTCAACCGGTCGTAAGTCGAGGACTACTCAACTGGCGCAGCACCGTTTGCAGACTGGGACTTTTGGCGGGCTCAGCAGGGCAGAGACAGCCTGGACAATTCCTATGGGCTTTGGAAAGCCAATAGAATTAGACTCTATTCAAGAGAGTCTATTCTATTGGCTTTCAAAAGCCAATAGAATAAAAGGGAGGAGCACAGCTAAGGAAAAGGGGGGAAAAAATGGCGGACTGTGTTGTTTGGCGACCCCCGTGAAATGGTCGTTCGACCCCAAATGGGGTCCCGACCCACAGGTGGAGAACCACTGGTTTAGAAGATGGCTGGAAACAGCTCAGCTTTTTTTGAAGTAAACATTAAAAAGATTTTTAAAAGGGTCCTGACCGAAGGTCCTGACTCATGGCTATTTGTGCAACAAGCAGGACAGGGAAGAATTGGTGTGAGAGTGGGATCCACAAAGCAGCAGTTCCTGTTTCCTCCAAGGTTCAAGGATCTCCTGAGGGGGGAGCGCAGGAAGGACACAGATCCACTGTCCCACCGCAGGATTAAGTGCAGCACAGATGCGGCTTTCCTGCAGCAGACCCAGAGTCCAGCTGTTGCCCGTCCTTCCTTTTCCTCGCCTCCCTCCCTAGATAGCAACAAGCAGGTGCATCACATGAGCTGGATGTTCTACTGCAAACTGGCACCAGCGTACGTGCTTCACATGCGATGCGGCTGGGGACCGGCAGATCTGGATCTCTCCTGTCATGTGGTGTTGGTGCTCCTTGGGCTGGACGGAAGACTGGAATCCGAGACCTGGTGTGGGAAAAAGCAGGATCCTAAGAGGGAACTGACCTGGCTTGTACTATTTTAGAGAAGAAACTCCAACGGAAAACAGAAAGAGAATAACAGAGTTGGAAGGGGCCTCGGGGGTCTTCTAGTCTAACCCCCTGCACAAGCAAGAGATCCTAGACCAGGGGTGTCAAACTCAAGTTTCATTGAGGGCCGCATCAGCATTGCGGTTGCCCTCGGGGCCGGGTGGGTGTGGCCAGGGTGGGTGCGGCCTACTGGGTGGGCGTGGATGGAGTGAGTGTGGTCTACTGGGTTGGGTAGGGGGTCTGTGGGGGCCTGGGCAGGAGTGGGACAGATTTGAGGGTCTCTGGCAGAAGGGGGTGGGACCGGGGCAAACGCCAAGGCATGGTCCACTAGAGGAGCCTCATGCAGGGTGGGGGGGCTTATGGAGCTAAGACTGAATGCGTTTCAGCATAGAGGGCCACCACAAAATTGTACATTGGCTCCTGGCCAGCCTGAGCCAGGGCCAAGGCAGAGGGGGCCGTTCCCTCACTGTTTCCAGGATGGCTTCACGGGCCACATGAAACCATTTCGTGGGCCACATCCGGCCCCCGGGCCTTGGGTTTGACATGTCTGCCCTAGAGTCCAGTGTTTCTCAACCTTGACAATTTTAAGGCATGTGGATTTCAACTCCCAGAATTCCACAGCCAGCATTGCTGGCTGTGGAATTCTGGGAGTTGAAGTCCACATGCCTTAAAATGGTCAAGGTTGAGAAACACTGCCCTAGGCCATTCCAGACAAGAAGTCTCCAGTGATGAATCCACAATTCTGGTAGCAAGCTGTTCCCCTGGTTAATTGCTCTTACTGTTAGGAAGTTTCTCCTTAGTTCCAGGTTGCTTCTCTCCTTGATTAGCTTCCACCCGTTGCTTCTTGTCCTGCCTTCAGGCGCCTTGGAGAATTGGTGGATGCCTCGTCTTTGTGGCAGCCCCTCAAATACTGGATTACTGGTATCATGTGACCCCTGGTCTTTCTTTTCATTAAACTAGACATACCCACTTCCTGCAACCGTTCTTCGTATGTTTTAGCCTCCAGCCCCCTAATCATCTTCGTTGCTCTTCTCTGCACCCTTTCCAGAGTCTCTACATCTTTTTTATAATATGGTGACCAGAACTGGATGCAGCATTCCAAGCCTGGCCTTACCAAGGCCTTACAAATCAGAATTAGAATCAGAATAGGTGGAAGGGACCACCGGGCTGTGGCTGAGAGGACCTTTGCACAAGTTGGCCTGTTGCACCAGTTGCGACCCTACCTGGACCGGGAGGCTCTCCTTACAGTCACTCACGCCCTTGCACCTCACGTTTGGACTACTGCAACGCGCTCTACATGGGGCTACCCTTGAAAAGTATTCGGAGACTACAGTTGGTCCAGAATGCAGCCGTGCGAGTGATAGTGGGTCCTCCTCGATACACCCACGTTACACCTATCCTCCATGAGCTGCACTGGTTGCCTATTGGTCTCCAGGTCCAATTCAAGGTGTTGGTCATTACCTTTAAAGACCTATATGGCTCAGGGCCAGGCTATTTGTGAGACCGCCTACTACCTCATAGTTCCCTTCGGTTAGATCCCACAGGCTGGGCCTCCTTCAGGCCCCGTAGGCCAAGCAGTGCCATTTGGCGGGGCCGCGGAGGAGGGCCTTCTCTGTGATGGCGCCCATGCTTTGGAACCAGCTCCCCCCGGAGAGTAGGACCGCTCCCACCCTGTTGGTCTTCCGTAAGCTACTTAAGACCTGGCTTTTCCGGCAGGCCTGGGGTTTATAAAACCTTACCCCTGGATGATTGTCTTTGTATTGTTGTTCTGTTATGTTTTATGTGTTTTTTATTGTTAGCCGCCCAGAGTCCTTTGGGAGTGGGGCGGCTTATAAATTTTAAAAATAAAATAAAATAAAAATTGTAGGTCATCTAGTGCAATTCCCCCACCCAAGCAGGAGACCAGTTTGGTGATGACCAAAACTGGATGCAGAATTCCACGCGTGGCCTTCCCAAGGCTTTGTAAAGGGGCACTAGTACTTCACGTGGATTCTGTCACTCCAATCTAGGGTTGCGTTGGCTTTTTGTGGCAGCTCCGCTCAACCACCGCAAGCACAGGTCGGGAAACACCCCCCCCTCCCAGTTTTGGACTCAGTTTCCATTTCTTGCGTCCCTTACCTCTCCCAGCGACGAAACGTCGGAGAAGAGGGACGGCGGAGTCAAAGAGGAGTTGTCGGAGACCGAACTGCCTGTCTTTAGTCTTTCTGCGTGGCAAGAAAACGGAGACGACAATTAGCACGAGATCAAAACTGCAGGGGGGGTCTTTCTTTCAAGAGAGGCCCTGGATGGGTGGACTTCAGTTCCCAGAGTTCCCCAGAGACCATGGCTACTCCTGAGAATTCTGGGATTTAAAGCCCATGCAGCTGGAAGGCCTGCTGAAAGACCACTGCTGCAGTTACAGGCAGTTATAGCTTGACTTAACAACAGTTTGTTTAGTGACCTTTAGAAGGTACAAGGGCATTGAAAAAAGTGTCTCATGGCTGTTTCTCACGCTTATGACTGCTTCAGCATCCCGATGGCCACGTGATCCAAATTCAGATGCTCAGCAACTGACTCGTATTTATGACGGTTGCAGAGTCCTGGGTTTCTGTGATCCCCTTTTGCGAACTTCTGACCAGCAGAGTCAATTGGGAGGCCAGATTCACTTAACACAGTGGTTCTCAACATGTGGGTCGGGACCCCATTTGGGGTCGAACGACCATTTCACGGGGGTCACCAAACAACGCAGTCCGCCATTTTTTCCCCCCTTTTCCTTAGCTGTGCTCCTCCCTTTTATTCTATTGGCTTTTGAAAGCCAATAGAATAGACTCTCTGGAATAGAGTCTCATTCTATTGGCTTTCCAAAGCCAATAGGAATTGTCCAGGCTGTCTCTGCCCTGCTGAGCCCGGCAAAAGTCCCATTCCGCAAACGGTGCTGCACCGGTTGAGTAGTCCTCGACTTACGACTGGTTGAGTAGTCCTCGATTTACGACTGGTTGGGGGTCACGGCATTAAAAAGGTTGAGAACCACTGACTTAACAACTGTGTTATTAACCTAACAAACTGAGATGATTCACTTAACAACTGTGGCAAGAAAGGTCGCAAAATGGGGCAAAACTCAGCAACAGAACGTTTGGGCTCAATTGTCGTAAGTTGAGGACTACCCGTATTCCCCACCCCGCTGCTCTAGGACCCCTTAACCCCCCCCCCGCCCAAATCCCGTGTGGCCCTTATTTCCCAGCGTGCTTCTTACGGAAGGCAGCAGGGCCCAGAGGGCTCCCGTTGTGGTCCTCAGGCAATGGCCGTCGCATCTCGGAGAGGCTGCTGCAGCGCATTCGACCATCGGCCTCCCGCCTCTTCTCTTCCTGCGCCTGGGTGTGGGTCAAGGTTGCAGGATGGAGAATAAACAATGTTGGGTTGAAAGGACTGCAAGGTGAATTGTCTACAGACATAGTTTTAAGAAATGCCCAATTCTTGCATGCAGTAATTTTAAAATCAATCTGAATAGAGCTGGAAGGAAGACCTTGGAGGTCTTCTAGTCCAGCCCCCTCTGCAACGAGGAGACCCTATACTATTCCAGACAGGTGGCTGTCCAGCCTCTTAAAAGCTTCCAGTGATGGAGCATCCAAAGCTTCTGGTGGCAAGCTGTTCCACTGGTTAATTGTCTTCCCTGTTAGGAAGTTTCTCCTTAATTCCAGGTTGCTTCTCTCCTTGATTAGTTTCCATCGATTGTTTCTTGTCCTGCCCTCTGGTGCTTTGGAAGTAAGTTGACACCCCGACACACACACACACCTTTGTGGCAGCCCCTCAAATACTGGAATATTGCTATCATGACACTTCTAGTCCTTCTTTTCTCTAGACTGGCCAAACCCAAATCCTGCAGCCGATCTTCGTATGTTTTAGTCTCCAGGCCTTTAATCATCTTAGTTGCTCTTCTTTGTACTTTTCCCAAAGTCTCAACATCTTTTTTGTAATGTGACCAAAACAGGTATAAAGGGGTACTAATATTTCACCTGATTTGGATTCTATGCCTAAAGCAGTGTTTCTCAACCTTGACCATTTTAAGGCATGTGGACTTCAACTCCCAGAATTCCACAGCCAGCAATGCTGGCTGTGGAATTCTGGGAGTTGAAGTCCACATGCCTTAAAATTGTCAAGGTTGAGAAACATTGGCCTAATGGATCATAGATCACAACAGGGCAGTTCATTTCCTGTGCTAGGGCTG